TTTATCATCACTTTGTATTCTTTTATTCTAAATGGCATTATCATTAAATAAAACCTTCTGTAAACAAATTAAAATCAGATAACAAACTAAGTAGTAGTATAGTAAGATAAAAGTTGATTGTGACAGATGTAAAACAAAAAAACAATTAGGTACTTTAGGAAATGTTTCTAAACTAACTAAAGATAAGTAGTAGAGATATATATTCTAGTTCATGATCTATTGAACAATCTAACATGAACAATTCAGCTTTTACTTCTTTTCACAATAACGTTGTTGTTATTTGTTGTACTCGAATCAGATTTTTGGACAGTAAATATATGGCAGTAATAAATGTCAAGTTCAATCAATTATTTGCTTAGTGGGTCACTATCACAATTATTATTATTAATAGTAGTAGTAGCAGTAATTTAGAGAGGGAAAAAACTGATAAAGAAGGGACGGAACCAAACTAAAATATGAAAAATGTTTTAGCTGACCTATTTACTATGCACACACGTAACTATATGGATGAGAAAAAAAATGTTCGAAAGACACACTTAGAATAAAGTATAGTTATTTACAGTATTTTGTAACAATTCATATAGGTAGGTAAGTAGCTTATGGAAAATGTTCTGATAAATTAAACTAGAGGACGAATAATAAGACCGAGGAAAAGAGATAACAAGTGATTCAGCCAAGGGATCTATTTTTAGTCACTGTCATTCTTGAACGACTCCTTGTATTGAGTTCCTGATACATTTGTGTATAAACTTTTTAACTCTGTTTAGAGCCATTTAATTAATAAGAGTAACGCTTTTTTATTCATTTTTGTTTCTTCGTTACTACACTGAGAGTTCATCCCATATCTGGTGTAACAGTTATCCGCCTGCGACTGTACAGCCTAAAAACAGATCTCTTCACTGAAATAACACTATATTTTTTTACGTTCTAACTAGTATTCCCTGCTTAATGAAAAGTGTCGAATTCCAAGTAGAATGTGACAAGTAAATAAAACTGAAAAAATGTCTATTTAACTTACATGCGAACAACAATTTAAAAGCATATCATACATTGTAATGATAAAAAGTGGAAATTTGTCACCTAATGATCATAAATATTAATAAAAACATCTCTAAGATATATTCGTGTAAGATATACGACATTATTAAAAGAACTGTATTGTTTCATATTTGTTTGTCGCTTAAGAAGCGATTGACTCACCTATAAAACATATCCACAAATCTCCATTCTGATATATTTATATACCCAGAACTCCCTAACAGGACGCTAACTAATGGTAACACAATATAATTAATACAATACCACAAAAGAACAGGTATAAAAATTCGAATGGAACAACATGAATTCATTTTATTTCGTCAGACTGTCTTCAGCTACTCACAACATGTAATGTTTCAAAAAAAAATCAAAATTACAAGGCGAGTTAAAAATATCAATACAAATGAATTTGTTCGGAATTTGTTTTAATTACATATCAGCATATTGTAATCAAGATTTAAACAAATTTGGGAGGCTAAATAATTGTGTAACAAATAAATTTATCAGAAGGGGTTTTGTGGAGATTGTAGTAATTTAAACAGTTGAGATCATGAGTCAATTGAAACTAGACCACTATGGAAAACCTGGATACACTGGACGGCCGTTTCGTCCCATTTTGGGACTCCTCAGCAGTGCGCATCTACAATCTCACTCTGAGTGACTGAACCCAGGACCTATCAGCCTTGTGCCAGGCGGGGTCGTGGATGCGCGCTGTTGAGGAGTCCTGCAATAGGACGAAACGGCCGTCCAGTGCTTCTAGGTTTTCCATGGTGGTCTAGCTTCAATTGACTCATGATCTCAACTGTTCAAATAAATTTATCATATACAAAAATATATTCTACATTAATTACAGTAATAAAAGACCAAAAAGGTAGAAACAAACGGTTACATGATGAATAAATTAGAATAAAATGAGTAAAGCCCAGTTATAGTTAAAAAATAAAAGTACTGAAATAGAAGGAAAGTTGAAAAATTGCAACGCAACCATACTACCGATTGTGAGAAATAATTAAAAATCATTTCACGATGTAACGTCATAGAGTTGATATTACAAAGGCAGATAAAGTTTACTAAATTATTACTTTATCAGATTTATGATGCCAGATAACAACCACTTCAGTAAACTTTAGAAATTTAGTGTTTAGCTGTCTATAAATCACCCCAAAGTTTCGATCTTTAAACATTTCAGGTTGTAAGCAGGTGACGAGAACTTAACTATATAGAATAAATTCGTGTTATTAGTATGGGGTTGTGGTGATTGTTGAGTTTTTGATTGAGATCATGAATCGATCAACGTTAATCCACCATTAAAAACCTGGAAGCACTGAATGGCCATTTCCTAGTGTGGGACTTCTCAACAGTGCTTATCCACGATCCTGCACGGATGACTCGAACCCAGGACCTTCGGTCTCGCTCTCAGATCTTTGTTCCTGCTCTCTTCAAGATAATATAGGGAACTATGCGTATAATGGTACAGTACTACAAACTAAAATCTGATAAAAGATTTACTTAATCGAAATACCACTCTTTGATTCTGAAAATATCACCGAAATGCCCTAATTATGTAACTTAAGTGTTTCATTTTTCGCACAGCATACACTTAACATAGTTCTTGTAAACAAATTGGATGTTTAAGATTCTTGGATGTGCATTGTAAATCATTATTTTGTACATTTCTTACAGGGTTAACACAGAGCTACATGTTTAAACTCCGTTTCATCTAATGAAGTGTATACACATAAATATAAGCATGCATATATATATATATATATTCATTTTAATGACTCAGTTTTTACACAATATACGGAGCTGTCATTATTATTATTATTATTCATAACTGATGCTTACATGCGTACTACTTACAGAGTTCCACCAATAATTTGTTGTATTCTTATGCTGTCCGTTTAATTGTTTCCAATCAACTTTATACTGGTAAACTGTACTTTTTCATCAGTGATTCACCTTAACCATTTACTGTTATTATTATTATTATCACTATCATATGTAGTACATTCAGACTTGATTATTGATCAGTATAGTACGATAATAATATTAGTCTATGGATTATGTACGGCCTACATATTGTATCAGACTTCTGCACAAAACAATCTTGAATATTGATTTACACTAAATTGTGAATCTGAATGAAAATAATATAATTTGATGTTATTAAAAACATCATTATATACGCATCAATCATATTGCTCCATAATGCCACTATTATAGTCAATACTTGTTATATTGTCCTTCCATTAAAAAATATGTGTAATAATGATATTAGTAATAATAATAATAAAATTTACTGCATAGTGTGTCAAACTATTTTTCATCATCCGAACTTTGGTCTTTCTCTGTCGTGATGTAAGTTTTTTTGTTCTATGTGGAAGTTTAGTTTAAATAATGTGATATATTTATCCATTAATCAACTAATTGTAAATATCTTATTCCTACAAGAGGTTAGTCTTAGTCTAAACCAAATACCACAGTTGTAACATATCAGACTTTGAAACTGGGCAACTCGTGTGTAAATCCATCAGGGAGTGGAGGTTCCCTAAAGATTGTAGGTGTGGTTTACTGATAAATTATAACTAACACGAGGTCTAAGTCGAGCAGGATTTCCTGCCTATCACCTGCAGCCACCTAACATAGTGATATATCTCTAGCACAAACGAAAATAGAGTTGTGGCAATTTTTAAACCCAATGTCGATTGAGGAGTACTGTTAAGTAATATGAAGGAGGTCGCACTAAATAAATGTTTTGTACTAGATTTCGGGGACTCCTTTGTGTGTTTTGGGAACCCAAGATAGTAGCGAGAATCAAACTCACAGTCTCGTGCTATTAGTTTTGTGCATACTATCTCTCTACATAACTGAGTCCCAATTCAATAGACTAACATTTTCGAATTTATTGTTATGCTAGGATATATTTTAACTAGTTAATCAGTTCTTACAATAAGTGGTTTGGTGTAAAATGAAGAAAATTCGTTTTTTTTTTAAAAAAAATATTCTTTAAACTGAATTTCAATAGCTGTAGGAATGATGGTTTAATACTGTTTTATTTCAATCCGAAACAAGACATATGTAATAAAACAGTGTGAACCGATCCTTCATGTAAGATTTTACTTTTGTCGAATTCTTAATAACATTTAAATTGCCTAATGTTTTATTTAATGTAAACAGTGATTTAATCGTAAAAGCACATGGTTTTTAACCACAGAGTTGTGAATTTAGATCTCATCCCTGTGTTCTTGATTCGAATAGATGCATAATATCATCAGCCTTTATACAAAGAGTATGGTCTGTAACTAAATGTTCAAACTTGTACTTGGTCACTAGGTTGTAAAACTTAAAGGTTTATTTACCAACCTCCCTACCCAGTTACAACAAGGATGAATCATACTAACGTTTTTGTAAGTTTAATATGATTAAAGTAACATAGTACTGGCTAACTTTTATACACTGAATTCATACATTACCAACCATACTACTTATTAATTAAACTGTTGCAGGGTGCCATCATCTGATAGGATAAGTAACTGTAAGAATATCACAATGTTTCACACTTCTAACTTTAGTCTATTCCCTCGTACCATGAATGTCTTAGGAGCTCGAATCTTTGTTACTGTTTCATAGCTTCAAACTGTTAGGTCGAAACAACAACTGTTCAATATCATCATATGGTCTTTAATAGTTGTTCAATCGACTTGTCAGTTGATAGTGAAAACTAATTAAACTTACCTCTTTCAGCAATGTGTATTTAAAATTCCAATGAAAGTAACGCTTCCATTGATATTTCAACTCTCTTCACTAAGCTCTTGTGCTAAGTGGATTGTTAGTGCTGAATTACTAACTATCTAGGTAATTAATCGGGTTTTTTTAAATGATAAGTCTTGGTTTGTATTGCTAATTTTGTATGTCTAATAAAATTCTTTTCATCATATATATATTATTTATTTTTGTAGGAGTTCATCATCAAATCCGATTCGCTCTATCCCCGTACAATATTGTGAATCTTCAATGAAAACCGGTTTAGGTTTGATGTATGTGTATAAATTCCTGAATATACCATTTTTATGTCTACAACGTGATGTATTACAATATCAGTTGAAACGTAATTATGATGAAATGATTCATGTTTTATATGAGTTAAGTCCAAAAACTGATAATCAGACACCAGAACAACGGTAAGTGTTAATTTTTATTCTTTTGATGGAGTAATATGATTTTCTCTGTCAGCCTGTCAGGTAGTTATGCACAATATAATTTTTAACATATGTATACATCGGTTCAAGTTGCCACAGCACATCGAGATACTAGAGTAATATAAGTAGTATTAGTATCAGTGATAGTAGCCAAGATTAGGTATAGAAGATATAGTTCGAGAAGTAGGCAGTCGTCAAATATATGTAGTGTATATACCAACCACCTCGTTCGGTGAAGATTCATTTACTCATCAACCAATTCTCCATCCTTACCTAGTAGTACCCTGGGCCTAACTTCAGTTTTGCTCACTCTGTGATCCCAATCATATACAAGCGATGCTTCGAAGGCATCTATAGCCAATATATTCGTAATCTACGAATACCGTCTACTTTGAAGGCCACAAGCTCTCAGTATAGTAATGTGATTTCAAGGGAATCTTGAGAAAAATACCTTAAACTCCTTTAATATGTTTTGTCTTCTTACGGTATTTCAATATCATTTAGTTAGTCAATTATAAATAACTTGTCAGAGTATACGTAGCAGATATCCACCGCAATCAATGGAAATTGAAAACCATTACCTAGTATCGTACAACCAACCTCAGCATTTCTCACCTAAGGCGAACAATAGTTCGAAGGTACCTGTGATCAAAAACATGAAACTTATGTATGGTTATTACTTTCTTAAGCTATGGTTAACAGCCTTTGAGCACTATGAAGCAGTTTCCCTAAAATATTTTAAGTGTTAACTTCATGAAGCAATTTATGCAACGTAACGGTATTTGATATTAAGTGGTTAGAAGTAGTCGGCAGGAAATCCTGTTCGACTAAGGTTTCGTTATAGTTGTCACTAGTCAATAATTTTTTACCAACCAAATGAAAAACAATACAATAGTCAATATCAACAACACTGTGTTTCAGTACTATATGCGCTTACATTTACATTTTAATAGATTGTTATTAATACTAGATGTCGACCATACACACACATACGTACATATACACTATCCCAAGTAAGAGATATTATTGTCCCAGATTGAACTCATGAGTCAGTTGAAGCTAGACCACTATTGAAGACCTGGAAGCACTGGACGGCCGTTCCATCCTAGTATGGGACTCCTCAGCAGTGCGCATCCACGATCCCGCACCACGCGGGGCTCGAACCCAGGACCTACTGGCTTCGCGCGCGAGCACTTAACCACTAGACCACTGAGCAGGCATCCAACGGTGTTATGTTCGTGGTTATTTCGTCGATTGTTAGTGAAGTGCCATTAATAGGATATTAATCATCTGCTCGCTAGTGACTGACTTCAAGAGATACTCCCGAAGTTCTAGTGAGAAGCTGTTACCAGTGGAGTTCAACCAGGTCTGTTGTAAGAGTGGTCTAGTGGTTAAGTGCTCGCGCGCGAAGCCAGTAGGTCCCGGGTTCGAGCCCCGCATGGTGTGGGATCGTGGATGCGCACTGCTGAGGAGTCCCATACTAGGATGGAACGGCCGTCCAGTGCTTCCAGGTTTTCAATGGTGATCTAGCTTCAACTGACTCATGAGTTCAATCTGTGAAATTTCTAAAATCTCCACAAAACCCATTCAGATATTATTGTGTTTTGTTTTTCCACTTTTGAAATTTCATTAAACACTTTGAACGTTTAAAATGAAGAAGGAATAAGGTGAACAATTTCAATAGAGTTTAATAAAATCAATTTTCTTATTGTTGTTGCTCTCTTAAAAATTAGTTGTTTTATTCTTCACAAAAAAAAACACTTGACGTACATACACAAGCAAATTAAAGAAATTTAGCCCCGTTCGTTTGTTTTTTTTTACTTCACCTTTCTATGTTTACTTTCTTTTGAAGTTGTGTATATGTATATTATGTATGTATGTATGTATGTGACTTCACTTTCTTTATTCAGTTTTTTTTCCTAAATACACAGGAAATCGTCTATTATGAAGCGAGAAAAGCAATAATATTTTTTTTCGTTATAAAATACGCCAACTAACTACCACAGTTACAATCTTCCTATTTCTCCACATTTACGAATGAATTCATAAATCATCATTATTTTTGCTTATAAAAGCTGGTTATACTGAATTCTGGATTGCAATATCTTAATAATTGTTTTGTATGGTGTAAAGTCCTATTCTTTAATTGATGCATAGATTTGGAAAATGAATTTCTATCACGGATTAACCATCAAAAACTGGGGTGTTACTAGATAAGTGCGTTATTATTATTTGGAACTTTAGCAGTACGGGTTCATGACTCTCTGAGACGAATCGAGCTCAGTATTACCATCAGGCCTCGAGAGGTGAATGCATTGTCATTAGACCATAGAATTGAATTTACTTGATCCTAATGTTTGGACTAGTTTGCCCATCAGTTTCTCGTAGTATGCTATGAATCTTTTATGGGCGGTAAATTCACGAAATGGAACGAGTCCATAAGGTCATTGACTATTGATCTGAGCCATGTTGGTAGGTGGAGGCTATCTGGTTGAGGTCCGCTTGATTATCATAGCCAATTTTATTTATTTAAGCATATAAACACTGGTACAATGAGGCACCAAATGTATGTGTGCCACACCGGCATTCGACTTATTTGAAGGTTGCGGTACCACTCGGGCACCCTAACCGAAACAGGTAGTTTCCCTAGAGAGCTACTCCCCAAGCTTCGACCCAGAGGTCTAATCCATAAGGCAGTGGTGTAATGCCTAGGAAATGCAGTCCCATGGTAGGCGGTTACCATGAATAAGTTCATACTCCATTTGATTTTCAGGATCATGGAGCTCTTATGCACCATTGATTTAGAATCAGGGTTCCCAACTCCCCTAGATGGATCCTCCATATCCACCAATCCTATTAAAGCGCCGGAAGATCACTTTTCGTCCTCTCGATTTCTTAAGCAACAGTAATGCCACGAGAAGTCAGTGAGTAGAACCTCCCTGACAGTGGCTGTATACGCGTGTGAGAGTTTTTGGAGGGAGAGAGAGAGCGGACTCTCCCTACCCTCAACCGTACCGGGGTATTTGGTGGCTAGCCAACGGTTGGAGACTACAGATGACATGTCTGAAATTCTGTCGCAATGGCGCAGACGTATTCACCTTCTGTCCGCTCATACATCTTATACTTTTCTGTTCCATAATTTCGTTCTGTCTTCTCAAATCATATTTTTTATGCCTAATCTTTTCTATCATTATCAATACTGTTATCAATGTTTTCATATCTTTCATATCTATTTTACTGATATAGTATGACAACTCAAACTGATAAAGATATTTTTCGCGCTCTATTTTTATTTTAACTGATTACGTTTATGTAAATAACTTAATAGGTTTGACCTATTGTTAATATTCAATTAAATATTGTACATTCTTCCTGTTCTTTTGTTTTACTGTTACTAAAAATATTAACAAGATAATACTAATAGACAGGTATACTGAAATTACTTTCTTTTCACATTTATCTAATGGTATTTTAATTAATATAAGTATTTAATTGTCAAACACTCTATTCTATTGTGACATTTGATGATTGTATATAATAAGTGTTTAAAATCAATTGATTGAGCATTAATGATTGAAGTTAAGTATCTTAGATTTAATTGACTTTCTGTATTTCAACATATCTGTTACAATTGTATTTATCATCCATAATGAATAAATCAACATTTTTATTATTTGGTTGTGAGTTGTCATAGAATTTAAGGCATAATTCGTTTAAATATCAGTAAGTTGCACGTTTTCTGATTCAAACTCAAGATATTCTTCAGTGAGTATACTATATTCTTATCCTGTTTGATCTGCCTTATGCTTTTGAGTTATAATCTTTGAAGATAAACTGACTGAATTTTGAATATCTTGTAAGTACTGATTCAGCATGATACAACTTATAAGTGAGCAACTTCTAACGTTAGATCCAAATTTCTATATAGTAAATAACTTTGTAAATCTACACTATTCAAGAAGACTAAAATATATGTTATACATGTAAAATAACTGACAACCAGCATAGATATACTTAAGTAGATTAAGACAAATGATATCAATCCATCAAGTCATTAAATGTCAACCATAGTTAGGTTAAGTGGGGAGTCTCAGTTAGTATGATATGTAACATTAGTCTAGGTTGATAATTATAAGTGAATTTTACAGTTTAACCAATAGAGTTTGTTTGAATTCAGTCTTTCTTGTATTAGTATTTTTCTTTATTTTAGTATGGTTAATTATTGTGTTCACTTTCATGAAATATTGGGAGAAGTAGTGATATATAAGAAATTCTTTTATTTTATCAGTTTTAGTTATATCGATTCTGGTCAGAAGAGAACAACTGATGAATCGTCATCATCACGAACGTGTTCTTCTTCTTTTTCTGTGATAAAAGAGAATGGCAAGTTGATCAAATTTTGACTAGAAAAAAAGTAGTATACTCCATATTGTCTTTTAAATAGACTATAAACTATTCTACCCAATTCGTTACTACTTCTATCTTTGATATTCTTTGCTTGTAATAAATGTCATGTGTATGTTCAACTAGAATTTTAACTCTCATGACGCCATAGTTCAATAAATGCGTATTGTTACGTATTTTCCTATTGGGTTTTAATTTTTGTAATCACTAACACTATTCCCTACTCTTCCTATAGGTCATTCCAAATTACTTGTTTCTTTTTCATTGCATTACGACATAAATGATAACTATTCGATTAGTTAATTTAAAATTCAACGACGTAGAATTATTAATTCAAGCCAATTCATAGATTGCATTAAAGTTCAGATGGATGATTTTGATAGAGTTTGTTCTCTGAGCTGGATGGTATGGTGGTGGAGCTTTCATCGTTCTTCTGAACGACATCATCAGCACAAAATTCAGGTCGAAGTGAAGTGTTCGAATTCCTCCACATATGGCTCACAACTTATCCTGTAGACCTCGATGTTGATTGATTCTTGTTGACCTTAAACTTGTCTTTGTTTACTTCTTTATTTTGGTTGTATCTCCCATTGGTTTGATTTTCGGTCCTATGTTTGTCCATAATTTCTCTGATTGCTTGATAAATCAGATCGATTTCAATGTGCTTGATTGATTGTATTGATTTTGTTGGTTTGTGTGCTACACTTATTCCGAAAGGCTTCAACAATCTCGTAGTTTCTGATATGCCTTTTATATTTATGGTAGGGTGATCCGTTCGTTGCTTTCTGTACTTGACTTCGTTTCTGATGATGCATTTGGCTTGTGTTTTTTGATGAATTTGATTGGGTAGCCGTTCTTTTGAAAGATGGTCTTCAGGTATTCTTCTTCACTTTTTTCGTGCTGCAAGTGTGTTGCATTGTGTCCTCGCCCTCTTGAACAAAGTTTGTACGCGGTTGATTTTGTGAGCTCTTGGGTTGTTGCTACTGCAGTTGAGAATTTGATCTGTGTAGGTCGGCTTCCGATATACTTGAACGAAACACGCATCCTAGATTCAACCGCTAGCTGCTATCCAAATCTGCTTATAAAACAAGTATGCATCATTGTAAAATTCGTATAAAGATGCTTAGGTTCAAATCGCCGGTCGTACATAGTGTAAACACAAAAGACTATATACAAGAACAATAAAATATAAAATTCTCAAGTGAAGGGAAGAATATGTATAAAATGAGAGTTATAAAAGGTCTTCAAAACTTCAATCTAAGATAACAAGCGAATTTAGATTCACATCGTTATATGATCGGTTCTGCGTTATATCACCTCGGATTTCCAACCGCTAATTTCTATCGATTTCAAGATTCCAACTTGGAAAGTATATACCTTCCAATACGACTAAAATAAGCAGTTACTCATAACTGAGTGGACTAGCTTAACTTTTTTATAAACTTAGTCCTACATAGCAAATTTATGCTAATTCACTTACTAGATATTTGGTTATGAACCAAACTCTAAGTAATTAATAAGGACTAATAACACTTCCCCGTTGCCCAAACTGAAGTATATGCAGCGGGTTTCGAATCAGGGACGTAGCGGCTGAAAGCTGAATACTTCAACCATTAAGTACCCACTGCTCCTACATACCGAATGTGTTTAATCATCCCATATTCTTAAAAACTCTATGAAAGGAACAATTTATGATATTATTTTTAACAATAACTACCATTGAGTAGTAGTATTAGTAATACACTTTCTGTGGTGATCTTTGAGTGATTTATTCTTCTTTATTAATCAGCTCGTCTATCGGGTATAGGTTTGTGTATCTGGCTACTAGTGAAGGTTGGTAATACTATACTTAGTTATCCGAACTGAAGTTAGTGAGGCGGGGCTTGAAACTGTGTTTTATTAGTTTAAAATCGAACATTAACTACTGAGGCACCACTCCACGACTTATACTCTTACAAATAATATCCAGTTTTAAAAGTAAATGAATATGGTTGTGAAGTGAAATCTTCAATTTTTAAAATGATAATTCATTTGCCACACCATTAATTTGATATGTATAGCAGTTTAATCATGTCTAAGAGTTAGGCAACATATTGAACAACTGTATCTTTCTGCAACTCATATAAATAAGGAATGGGAGTGATTATATTATCGCCCTTAAATTAAATGTATCAATCTACAAACGATTTATCATTTGTTTCAAATGATTTCTATAATGAGTAATGTTCATATGAATCCAATTAAAAGTGTTGAACATTGTTAATAATAGAATAGATGAATTGTTAATGATAGAACAAGTGTTTCGTTTTATTTGGAACTCGTCAACTAAATGTACATCTTTTCCTATGTTGATTGGCACACCGGGACTCAAATCCGTTATTGTTGACTTCAAATACCTAACACTTTATCCATGTAGCTATTGAGTTGACTAAATTTTACAACAAGTGTAATATAGATATCATTATTAGTAATAATAAAATCTGAATGTAGTAAGTACAATGAATATTGTTTACAATCTATTATCCTGATACAACTTACCTAAGTGTTCAGTCATAGTAGCAGTATCTACAAAATTTTATATTTTTTTCCCCAAAGATTTCACAATGTCAACTGCACTAAACCATAATTTTGTTTTTTTAAAAAAAAGAGGTTCTGTTTCTTCTTATTGATGAAAACAATGTTATTGTTTATTTGTTTGTTTTTTAGTTGTAAACTTTCCAATTAAATTAACTGAATCAAATAGAACAACAGTAATGTCTTTCAACCCATCATCCAATATGAATAATGAAAATAATTTTGATGATAATCAGAGTAATGTTCATATGAAAAGAGATGAATACAAGACTAATGAAATCAATGAACAGTAAGTTTATTTCTTTACTTCTCTTTTCTTTTTCTCTATTAAAGAAAGAAAGGAAGAGTAATAATAATAATAATGACAATATAAATACTAGACGTAATTCCTGATTAACATTGGCAAGAGATTCACATCAACGGAGGCTAAGGGCATATATCATCCTACTTTATTATTATTATTATTATTATTAATGGCTTTATTCAATATTATATTTTTGGTACAATATAGAATTCTCAGCACAGGGTATTTCAACAAGTTACTTACTGAAAAAAAAAACGAACAAATAGGCAGTAGAAAATACAAAAAGAAATTTTTTTTAAAAAAAAAAAAAACTTTTTTTTTAAAAGAAATTTTAAAAAAAGACCAAAAAAACTGTGCAAACTTTTTAAAATTAAAGACATGTTAAGAATGTAAGTTATTAACTAGGTTATTTCTAACAACCTGTTCGTCACATAGTATATTTGCTAGGTAAGGAATTATAGAACTTTTATACTTTTCCTTACGTGCATGGATTTTAATGTAATTACGTCTCGTTCTACCAGAAGATATACAAGGAGAAAGATAAGAGTGAAGGGGATGGCTAGTATCTGATAAAATAACACCTGCCAGGAGTTTGCATGATTTTAAATGTCTATCCACAACCATATTAATTATGGCCTCGAAAGATTCACCACACATCTTGCTAACTGCCTTCAGCACTCTTCGCAATACAGTAAAGTCTTTTCTCAGAAGCCCGGGAAAGAATAATGGAGAACAGTAAAGAATAATAGGTAAAATGCAAGAATTGACAAATTGTAAGAGTAATTGACGAGTAATCCCAAGAGCATGCAATCTCTTTATGTAGTAGGTCAGACGGAAAACCTTCTTCGATAACGATAAAACGTGGGAAGACCAAGACAGATCAGAGGAAAAGGTGACACCAAGATAATTGACCTTCGACACTGAGTTTATGAAAGAGTCTCCGATGGCACAAGCATTATGGGATCTCAAAATGGTGTTTATATTCCGTTCATGTCTCATGCTAAAGTTAACAGCTTGACATTTAGACGGATTAAGTATGAGACCATTACCAACTGACCAACAATCAATATGAGACAAAAACTCATTCATTTCTACGGGATGTAAAGAGGAAGATATAGGCATACATACAGTGAGATCATCCGCATACTTCACAAAAGTGTTTTCTGTAGAAGATGGCAGGTCATGCAGAAAAAAAGAGAATAGAAGAGGTGAAAGAACAGCTCCTTGTGGTACACCTTCCTGAGACAGTAGAGACTCCGAACACTTTCCTCCAAACACAGTGTACTGTTCCCTTCCAGAGAGGTAGGAACATAGCCAGTTGGTTATCCAGCTGTCAGTGTTGACGCTGATTAACTTGTTAAGTAAACGTTGTTTTGGTATAGAGTCAAAAGCTGAAGTATAGTCCAGAAAAGCACAACGAACATACTTCTTACCCTTTTCTAAGTTGAACACTATGTTGTGGTGCAGAACTGCAACAGCATCTAAAGTGCTTCTTTTGCGCCTGTATGCAAACTGGTATGGGTCAGTATGCTCTTTTATCGCAAGCTGAAGTGGAAGTATTAATAATTTTTCCATGGTTTTGAGGAAGGGTGAAGTTATTGCAATAGGTCTAAATTTTACATTCTTATCACCAGATGCTTTCTTGGGTACAGGAATTATCTTCATCTTTCTCCACATTTTCGGTATGAGATTAGATGAGAAGGATCTGTTAAATATAGTTGTGAACGGATGACACAGAACGTCAGCACATTTTTTAAAAAGGATGTTTGGGATACCATCAGGTCCCAAACATCGAGATGAATTAAGCGATCGGAGACATCCTCGTACATCAGTTTCAGTGAAAGTAGGAACACAGCTACTTTTTAAACCCGTGGATAGAGGGAGCATCACATCAGATGACTGACGAACAAAAGACTTATTTAAGTCACTAACATTCAGCTGGTTATCGCTTCTAAACTGTCTGTCGCCTGTAAGTTCTTTAAAGAGTTTCCACATACTTGGAGTGTTTCTGCAAGATAAGAGCTTTTGAGTAAACATGCAGTTGAGACGTCTGATCTCTAGCTTTATCAGACCATTTAGCTTACGAACTTCATTAGAGTTCTTCTCCTTGTACATTCTTTCTTTCATCCTTCGTAGTCGTTTTAGTTGTGTAGATGTAAATCGATCAAAACTTACAAAAATGGTTTCAGTGGGACAGCAAATATCAAAACAGAATTTAAGGTAACAAGTGATAACATCAGTAGTGTTTTCCAGTGAGTCATCTGTAAATAATTCCCAGTTAGTCGTATGAAACATGTTTTCCAGATTTCGGATATTTTCTTCTGAGTAATTCCTATATTTGACTTTCTTGGTTTGACGTAAGAGTGTACTCTTCTCATGCTTTCCATATACTTTAGGTAGAACACGAATTATACAGTGATCTGAGCTAGACAATGGAGCACGTTTACGAGTCGCATATATACCCACATCATTAATGAAGACGAAGTCTAGATAGGCATCCAAACGGGTAGGAAAATCCACTACATTTTGGTGACCCAGTGACGTAAGGAAGCTACAGTCACATGAATTGAAGTCACCACATACGACTGAAAGTGAATCACTGAAGGCAGTAAGAGCGAACTCAGTGAATTCATCAGAAAAATCAGATAGTGCAGATGATGTGCAATCTGGAGTAACGTAGATATTGGTAACATAAACATATTTGTATTTATTTAGATGTTTTGGACGACATCTTAGAGTTAGACAGTCGATAAAGTCATTTGAAAACTTAAAACACACAAACGAAGATCGACACCAGTTTATGTTTACAAACGTAGCTACACCGCCACCACACCTCTTTTTATTGTTCGATCGATCCTGACGATAAATTTTAAAATCACGTAGTGATACAAGGCAGTCATCCTGTAAACCATTCAACCAAGATTCTTGAATTGTGATGACACCACAATTACGATACGTATTTTGACTAAGTAGGAATTGCAGATAGTCCACTTTGTTGATTAGTGACCGGCAGTTAGAATTAAGAAGCTCGGGAATCGACATACTATTAATGTTCATTCTTTTTAACGCATATTGCCAACCACCACGATGTCTTTTATAGTACTTTTTCGTAACTTGTGCAGCGAAAGGTCGTAAGCTTTTCATAAAAGCGCCAGAATAGGTTATGCGATTAATGGACATGATTATAAATTAAAACAAATAAAAAACAGATAACTTGTTGAAATAATCAGATGGCAGAAACAGGTAGCCCAGATATTCAAGCAGGCCGCCGTTGGTGATTTACTTTGAGCGACTAAGTCGTCGGTTCTAACTCCCTTCACCTACTTCAATTTAAGCAACCGGGTAATATCACTTAGAGTCAAAATCAAAATCAAGTACACTAATACCTACGTGGTAAATGTGTTAAGTTGATTAATTAAAGTATCAATACAGAAAGATATCTACAAATGATAATTTGATCTGTTATAACAACGTACCATGATGACGGTCGTGCAGCATCGCGAAGTTGGAAATGTAAACTATTGGATCTAAACTCAGTGGTTTGAATGTTAGGCGCTCAGCACAATGTCTGAAAGTCCTGAGTTCTATCCTCAGTTGGATCATATATACTGTTCATTGAAATATATTTAGAAAGTAATAAATAAAATCGAAGAATATGAAGTATGAGAAGATATTTAACTTATGACTCAGTAGAAAACAAGGAACGAATGCATCTGTACTACTCCGATTTATTTCGTACTGAATAGTATTCAACTTTTCTAACCATAGAATATGTGACCATTACTCCTGGACGTCTTTTAATCAACATTGGTAGTTATTCGGAAAGACAAATAACTATTAAAGCGACCGAACTAATAGCTTACTTATAAAATCAATAAAACTATCATCAAGACATACAAAATGTTCTAACAAGTATCAGATAACAATGAAGGAACAAATAGTTAAACATTAAAACTTTCAACCTATACTTCTTTAACTCTACTTATAGTCATACTCATTCACGACTAATGAGTAAAATGATTTACGTCCAACCAACTAGCTTATTTCAACTGATGTGGTTGTATAGGTCTGATGGATCTAAATTTTCATCCATCGTCTCCTTAGGGTTTGAAATATCACTTGTTGAATAGTATTGGTAAGCTGAAAACTTACTTCTTGATTCTCCCCCTGGTTATATTTAGTCGGTCAGCTTTAAATTGATATAACTTCTGTTGAACGGCTAGCAGCGGTTGAATACTTTGTATGACATGGCTCAGAATTGTTCACAAATGTCTTCCTCTCTGTCGCGAATTCCAGTGAACCCTTCATAAAAACCTTTCTACCCTGTCCTTTCAAACCATATTCTAAAGGTTTAGCTTTTCTTATTATTGCCACTATATCATTTCAATCTCTTTTATGATATTCGTCTTGTTGTGCTAATCCAATGATATGGAAACTTGGGCTAACGCACATCTGTTCTACTCCCAATGTTGATGATGCTTGTCTCTATCTATCCATAATAAGAACAAATAATTAATCAACAATTAGAAAGAAAAAGAAAAGCAAGCAAACAACCCAATTTTACATATGTTATACTAATCAACTTTCGCACTACATTTTATTTGTTTTCAAAAATTTACCAGTTGTTTATTCTGTATAACTTATTTGTATATACATACGTATTATTTTTGTCTCAAGGTTGAAACAGAATCCAATGGTGATAGCATTCAGTGAAGAAATTGATCCTGCTGATAATGAAATATATTATCTTAATAACAATACTAATAATAATCATTCAGAATCACCTACGGGATCGTATGCAACGTTTACTCCGAGTAGTGATAATGACAATAATGATTTTAATATTAATGATGATAATTTACATTTCAAAAATAATAAAAATTTATCCAATGAAATAATGGATGAATTACAGTTGAAGTTACGCTTAGAACAAGTATGAAAACGGTCTTTTATGATAAACGTTTTCTGTCTACCTCCTTCATGTATCCAACGTTTGGCTTAGTAACCAACGTTTTTTTAAATTTAGACTAAATTAATGCATTCCAATTAGTGCTAACGAAATAGACAGAACGATATTGATTAATATCGTACTTACATTACAGATTGATTATTATCGATAGACACAGTTATCTTATTTTTATTTGTTTTAACACAAAAATATTGGTACAAAGAGGCACCAAATAAATATGCGCCACACAAATCTCATTTGATTTGTATGAGGGCTGTGATACTGCCCGGGTGCCCAAACCGAAGCAGGCACAGTGAAATGCTATGTGTAAGGCTAGAATGATTCATGGACATAATTCTTTATCGAAAGAGCTAAATAATGTTCAAATTATTGTACTCGGTTTCGAACCACACTCTAAATGTGAGGGCTGTTGAACTACTTGGTTACACAGCCTGAAACAGATAGAACGGGGTTCGAACCCTCAACTTGGTGACTGAAAGCCAAATGTCTTAGTATTAAGTCACCATTTCTACTCTCATTAGTTTATTAGAACTGAATCATTTTCAGACATCGTCAGATTTGGTCATTTGTTTCAGTGGAGTCTTTTCAATTGATATTTCCACAGCATACATATTTTCAACTGATATTATTTTTACCTAATTAAACTTTGAATTATTTATTATCCTTTATGTGTTATGATACGATGCGTGACAACATATTTTATCGAATTCTATGATGAATGAGTCAGTCAACCAATCATTTAGCTGAGCAGGCAGTCACACTAACTAGCCACCATTTTTAGTAGCTAATATTATCGTACTTCTGTCGAATTATGTCGATCGAGTCACAATGTAGCAATACGGTTAGTCATTGCGTACACCATGTTTTTGATGTTGAAACGGTAGAAGTAACCTTTAGAAAGGATATCTTTGATCCAAACTCCACATTAGTTGGGATTTATCAACAATGCTGCCAATGATGTTTTGAACGTGTATCACGCAGATAGTTTTGTCCACACTTAACTTTCGTCTTTTCTATAATTATGAGTGTTTGAAATGTTGTCATTCTTAGCTATCATAATTTTTATATCACCGTTTGTCTCTTCTTTTTTTGTGATTAAATTATTATCGTAACTTATTTAAAGAAAAATGAAATGTTTCCATGTATTTTACCTACTTTTCCCACTTAAATTCACTTTGGTCAAGCCATTTTTTGAACTCTCTTTTTTTGTCGACATCATTCTTAAAATTGTCGATTATACAGTGTCACTCTAATGGGAAAAGAGTTAATTTGGATCATTCAAATCAGTTCAATAGGTCCGAATTGAAAATTATAGATGGCACGATGAAACATTCTGGTCAGTTTTATATATTCGTAAATTATACCTTTGATTTTCTTGTTATACATGTTTACTTTTTTAAAATCGAATTAGCCTTGTTTATGTATGTGTATGGTATTTGACAATAATTATGTATTTATACCGGTGAAAGATGGTATAATGAGTATTTCTTTTCCTCAACATGAATTAATTTGGTTTTATAGCATGTGGTAAGACTTTCGAGTCAAGTCTTTATTGTATCAACCCAGGATCTTCAGTCTCAAGTCGAGTACTTAACCTCTGAACCACTGATTTGTCATCCAGTGACGTTCATGGACGTGATCAGCTCCCATTGCCCGTAGTGGATAACCGTTTTACAAAGACATAATAAATATAGTTCAAACTAATTCTTTTTTGTTACTTATATCTGTTACAAGTTCAGGTTCCCATCACAAAATAGAACGCAAAATGTTTTCTCATTTTTACGTATCAGTTATGTGAAAAATCTATTTAGATATTTATTATCTACAAGTGTTTCTTTTCTCATTGGTCATAATAACATGTTAATATTACATATATTCATTGCTTACTATACTACATTTGCTAGTTAATCAGTCATAACGTATAAGCCGGCACATATATCCATAAGTTCAAGTTCCCACAACATATCAGAACGGCAAGATGAATGTCAATGTAGAAGAACTAGTATAGGCGATTGTAAAAAAGATTAAGCACAGAAGACACTACTTGAAAATGGCAGAATGAATTAACTAAATAGACTATAAAATAAAGTTGAAACTCAAGATATAAGGTAAAACAAGGAGTGAATAAATCTACTTTTGAGTCGTATCACCCAACATGTGTAACCATTGGCCGTGATAATTGACTCTGCACCTACCAACAAGCTTCAGATTAATGGAGGCGAATTCATGAACTGATCCAACGTCTTGATTTGGTTGTTTTTAGTTTCCTGCCAACCTATTCTTCTACTGAAAAGCTTCGTGCGTTCAGGTAGCGAGTGAATTAAAATATGTAACACATATCTCAACTACCTCAGTTGATAAAGATTAACGATATTATTATCAGATGGTCTACCATCTTCCTCTAGTACTCTACATCTGACCTCAATATTGCTCATTTGGTAGTCCTAACATACGCATCTAATTGATGATGATCATTTATTAGTTGCCATCGATTTTATTCACTTCTGAATCTTACTGTCCTTAAATTTATTTTGTTAAATTTTATCTTTTTTCTATGCTATTTATTTATTTTTATTTTTCTTCCTTATAAATCACTAGGACAACTGAGAAAATCTGAGTCTAGACAAAATAAGTTAACAGACGAAGTAAGTTTATTTCCATATGTACCTGAATAAATCCATATTTTGATATTATTGTTGTCATCATCGTTAGATTACTATCTAAACTCAACATTTTTCTTTATAAGCAAAGATGGATAGTGGCTAGCAGTGGAATCCAGGACGCGCGTTTCGTCCTGTTTGGGACTCGTCAGCTGGATGTACCTGCATCTCAGAGTTGATATTCAATCTGGGACTCGAACTCAGTACCGTTCGCTTCAATTTCAGTCCTAAAATATCAATGGGAAGATTCAAGTAAAACAATATCAAGTGAATTAAACTTCACCTCATTGCATAAGCAAGTGGCTATCACAACTCAGTAGCTAAGTGGATAACGCGATGGCGTTTGAAGCGAACGGTACTGAGTTCGAGTCCCGGTGTGAACATCAACTCTGAGATGCAGGTACATCCAGCTGACGAGTCCCAAACAGGACGAAACGCGCGTACTGGATTCCACTGCTAGCCACTATCCATCTTTGCTTATAATGCTTGTAAATTAAGGCAATATCGAAGCATACGCACAGTATGCACATATGCCAATAAGAGACTGATCAATTTCAGTCCTAAAACATCAATGGGAAGATTCAAGTAAAACAATATCAAGTGAATTCAACATTTTTCTGTTTAAGTATTCTTAACTGCTAATCGATTAACTGAAATCAGTGATCAAATACTTATGATAATTGGAAATATTCAATTGTTCCAGGGTTTTTTTTTCTATCCTCTAAATTTAGTGTAATTTTCCTGTCGTCGATTGATATGCAATTTATAATTTCACAAAAAGATTTTTGATCATATATTGGTATACTTTAACGAACAAATAAAATTAAACTTGGTCACAATATACAGATAGATACACTTTATAACTTGTGATTTTGACTTGTGAATTTTTACTGACGATATATATATTTCTTACATGGAATATCAAGCTAATAATAGATGATAGCGAGAATAGATAATAGTTATTCAAATGTTTTAATAAAGCTTTAGGAAACATTATAGTGTTACCTAATACTAACTTAGTACATGATTTACATTCCATGAATTATTTAACATTCATACTTATCAATGTGATCATCTCCGTTCCACTGAAATTTTAAACACATTATTGTAATCCGTTACAAAAAATACTACAATCATTTTACTGAGCTATATCGTTGGAGGGAAACAACTTTAACGTATGTTTCTCATTTGTTAATATCCATCATCAAAGTCTTCGTACACTACCACTGAGTGAATCGATACCTTCTTAGACCTCGAACCCTGTATCACCTTATGTTTCAGTTATCACTAAGTACCAACCATTCAAGCCACTGACAGAATTTAATCATTAATGAAGTCTGAACATAACACAATATTGGTCATTAATACTCAGTGAATGATTGATACAGTTAATTATCATCATAATAGTGGTTAACTTGACAATCTCAAATTTGTCAATCACCACGTTATAAAATTATGTTTAACTGATTTTTTATAATCTTATGTTCTTCTTGATTAGTCAGTCAGTCAGCTACAACGTAGGACCAGGCACATGTGTGCATCGGTCCAGGTTGCCATACCGCATCAGCACAACAAGATGAACACCGGATTCATAAGTGGTTAGGTAAAAGGTGGTAATATATAAGAGAAAGATTGCATATAGAGATATAGTACAAGAAGAAAGAATTGGTTAGTAGAAAGAAAGATATGAAGCGCTTTATTAAAGAGATGACTTTATGACTTGATTAGTGGTTTAGTGTTTAGGGCTATCCCCTTTCGAAATATAGGTTCCCGGTTCGAATCTACATTCAAAAAAGCGTGGATTAAAGTCGATTACATAAACCCGTATTTAATAAATGAGTTCCATTTTTAACATTCACTAGTGTGATTGAAATTATTTTGTAATTTTGTTCCGATTTCCTTATAGCAGGAAAGTGTACTTGGTACGAACTTAAAAAACGATAAAGATTTGTCAATATCTAATGAAAATATAATTATACTACCTACAGATGATGATGCCCTGGAAAAATTTCTTGAAGATAGCTAGTAAGAACAAAACTCCAAATCGTCTTTCTTTTGTGCTTCTTTAAGTGGAATCCTAACTTTCACTGTTAATCTTTTGTACAAAGAAATGAAATATACCTTTCCTATCCTCACATTGGATGCTTTTATTATTCTTGTTATTTATTTAATTTTATTCAAATGATTACAATCCAACAAAATAGTATGCAGAATGAAGTTACTTTGGAATCGATAATATATTTAACATGATTAAGAATTTCTTCAGAAATTTGTTTGCTATACTGATCAAAATGATAAACAAGTGCCAGCTAGCATGAAACCTAGGTCGTATTCTAGCATTATAGTGATATAACAAGCAGAAACGAAAAATATTTTCAGTCAACCGTTGTATTCCATTAGTTCAAAACAGTAATTAGTGAGAATGCTAAATACTCTCTTATTAAGTTCGAAATATTATGCCGAATATGATAGCCATGAGATTCGGGAGTCTTTCGAAATGTTTGCAAGAATACTGTGTCACGTTAACAAAAGTAGTAGCAGACTCGTTCCGATAGCTGATGGTTTCAATTTACGAAGTGAAATTGATTGTCACTAGTAGAAACTTTGGCCCCATTGAAATAAAGAGTTTAACAAACATCGGCTGCACGAGTCCACTGATTCTACCTTGATCCCCTGTCATGATTCTGACCACAATAACACCTGTGTATCACAATATTCATACGGTATTATATGCCTTCATTGAGATCTTGTGTCAGTGTCTGTTAGTTGAGCCTCAATCAAGTTAGCTGCAACAACTTATTCTTGATCCTGTAGTCAGTCGTCATCTGTACTGATACCAACCATTGACATTCACCAAAGTTGACTACCTCATGCGACTTTATGATCAATGAGTTTACACTAATGATAACTCACTGCCAACTCAATATGAACCGACCTGTCCGTAAAGATCTTTAGCGTGAGTAAATTGGCACAGCGAAATCCTTCCAATCTTAAGATCGGAAAACTGTTAATAAACTTTAAAGGACTATTGAACGTTTAGCAAGTTTCATTACAAAATACTTTCAATTTATATAGGCTCTGCTCATTGGTTGAAAAACGGCTTCAAAATCAAGCAGTCATCTTATGATTTATATAAGTACGTCTCCATACTAGAATAATATACGGAGAACTGAAAAAAGTAGATTCTATACAAAATTAATTCGGAGTATAAACAAGAGGTTATCTACCGATGTTGCATAATTAACTTGAGAACAAATATTGAACAGATTTAATTACATTACCGAGCTAAGATTGACTAAAATGAATATTGTTCATTAAGAACACCTCGTTTGTCATTTCTTTGTTGATAAAAACAATGACGAAGCATCTATGTGTTGAAAATTCACTCAGTTAAAAATTAAAAACTAACTGGCAAAAATCATCGTTAGGTGATGGTTGGCAATAGTTCGCAGGAAACCCTGTACTATTTGAATTTTGTCAACAAGGTATATCTGCAATCTTGAAGGGACTGATGCTTCCTGGAGAATTCTACTTCTTGCCACTATGCTTCATGGTTGGAGACGTCACCACTAAGCTGTTCGAATCACGACTAACTTCCTGTAGGACTGAGATATACTTACAACTGATTGGTCACTGAGCATTGACCAGTATCATAAATGCCAAGTCCCCCTAACATTCCAATATAGTGCATGTAAAGTCACTTAAACTAGTAGCTACATCATAACTTGATCGATAACATTCGATCAGCATTAAGAAATACTTGACATTCATGCTATCAGTCAATGTTCAGTCATTAACTAATTGTAAACATACCATAGTAGCTGTCATTTAATCTATTGAAGTCAATCATTACAGCTCTTAACACATATGACATAATGAATAACAACTAACCAACTTTTTATGCGGGAAAAATATTTTACTAAGATTACCACCATTATACTAATTCATGTTCTTTTGAATTAACTAACTCCATTATTTCTGACAAAAGCATTAGTCAACCAACTAATTAGTTCATCTTGTTTTACAGTTGGAAGTTTCATCTATTCTATTACCAGTAAGTTATAGCAGTGGTAGCAGTAATTGATAAACAACAGTATAGAATCAGTAACAACTTGAAATTAATTCAAAGGTTGTCAGTAAGAATCATACTTTCGACTCTTCACACATACTACTTACATCTGTCCGTATAAGTAGCACACACTTTGTATCAGAACAATAAGCATAGAGGTATGTAATAGAAGTCAAAATATACACTACAAAAGTTTATTGAAGAAAAAAGGCAATCAAATAAAATAAATCAAATCCCACATGCTGTCATTTTGTTATTGTTGTTCAAAGTCTTTTTTTTTAAAAATTGTCCAAAGTATTTTGTTTTATTCCTTATTACCACTTTCTTTTTAGTGAATATTTGTTCTATTTTGTTTTAATTGGGATTAGAAAGAAAAGTGTGTCTATCAGAGACAGTAAGAGAGTAGTATTATAATAATGTAAATCAAAACAGTACAGGAAAGAATAAACACCGACAGTCTCAATGGGACAAAATATCGCATTGTCTTCACAGAAATCCATGTATGTACGTGTGAATTTTTTAGTACAGGTTTACTACCAATTGATCAGTTAGTTATGCAATTTTCTAGATTGATAATAAATGAGTAGAGAAATAAAAAGATAAACACACAGAGAGTAAAGAAAGTTGTTTGTTTACTTTTACTGTAGTTTGTAATTTCATCATCCATATATGCAATCAATTAAATAGTGGATGAGAACATAACAATATCTTTCATGCAATAACAAAACCTTATTCATGTGTGCGATGATCGATTACATAGAGGGAATAGTGAAAAAAAACTGGTCAGGTTTTATCAGAGAAAAAAGGGAGAGATAGTGCCGAAGACAAGAAAACTAACAAACAGACACAAATACATAAATATATATATCAAATGAAAAATAAATGGTTTATTTCATCAATAAAAAAATCAGAAGATTAAGGCACACAAGACACTTTTTTGTGATTTAATGATTCCTGTCCAAGGAAGCCAATTTATTTATTGAGTGTAGACAAAAAGATGGTGTGACGACAACCAACAATAACAATGAATGTATCCAACTCCGTGTTCAGGGTATACAAACGAAAAATAACAGCACAGATTGCCGCCAATAACCACATAGGACATAGATAGATGTTTAAATTTCTTCTTCAAACAATCGTTGCCTAGTATTGGACAATCCACTTTGCGCAATCTTTATTCGTTATGAAAATGCAATCAAAAAGAGAAAGAATTAGCAAGTAGAAAATCCAATCTTTGTATGCACTAACAACAAAATATTATTTAACTTTACTAAATCCATCTTTGTAAGCTAACAGTAAGTAATAATTTGAATGTAATCTTTATTGCACACAAAAAAATTGACATTACCTATAGTACTGTTGAGAAAAAGCTCAGGTAGCAAGTAGTAGTAGTAGTTCAGGACGTTATTGACTAATCCTAGAAAAAAAACTTACAGTATTTGCTTACAGATAAATTTTTCGATGTTCTGATGAAAAGCCATGATTTTATAGATGGTCAACTTAGTGGATAATTAGATAATTATGCATTCCTTATGATTTTAAATGATATATCACATAACAATAAAATTGTAAAATGTGAAGTCTTTTGGGTTTCAATACAATATCCTTACTGGTCCACCGAGTTGGACATGGCAAATGAAGATTACTGCTGTGATCTCATGTGTAGAGGTCGATGTGCGATGATGCACCACTGATGTAGAAGTCGCAGAGACTATGACAACGTTTGTTATCTTCAATGATTATTCCATCTCGACATCTGTTAGTTAATGATGAGAACTATCTTTAAGGTGCATAAAATTTTCACGAAACCGCAAAATTTGCTTATTTATACCGCAAAGGAATTCTAAAAGAATAAAACTAACTAAGCGCATTACATATAAAACTGATTAAAAAAGATATATGAATGACTACCAAAGTCAAGCAGAATAGCTTCTTTGCACACAAAAAAATAAATGAATGCCGGTGGTTACTAATGATGAATGTAAAACCGGAAGTTCATTCAAAAGTGATTAAGATTCCATAATTTAACCTGAAAACGTTACATTTAAACATGAAGGAGAGGGAGACAAGGAGGAATTCATGAATTCTACGGATGAAACATAAAGCAAAGAAAGCCCACATACATCAACTCTCTTTCGAAGAAGAGACCCATGAAACTAAGACCAGTCATATATATATATATATATATATATCATTTGCGCACAGAAAAAGTTTATCTCTTTGCCTAGGTCATGAACCAATAAATCTAATACCATTATCTAACCTTGTCTACTATTACTGATGCTGTCATTACTTTCACTGCACTGAGATTTGCCTAGACAATTTCATTTCTCTCTACGAACATAGTTTGGCAACACATATATACGTGCCAGATTCTATGTTGCATATGACTTATTGATTTCAGACAGTTTATTAGGCTTTAGAAATCCAAGGAAAATTGAAGAACAAATAAACACCTCTCAACATAATTTGATATTATTTATTTCAACACACAGATATTGGTACAAAGAGGCACCAAATATATATGCGCCACACAAACCTCATTCGATATGTGTGAGGGTTGTGATACTGCTCGGGTGACCAAACCGAAGCAGGTGGTGTCCTTAGGGGGCCACTCCCCGAGCCTTCGACCTGAATGTCTGATCCAAAAGACAGTGGAGCATCTTAAGGAGATGCAGTCCCATGGAAACCGGTGACCAACAATTGGTTCATACGTCATTTGTTCCCGGAGGATACTGGAATCCGGTTAAAGCGCCGGACATTCGCTTTTCGTCCTCTCATTTTCGTAAACAACACCCCAACCACGAGAAGGCAGTGAGTAGGACTTCCCTGGCCGAGGCTATATACGCGTGGCCATGTGAGAGCATTTCGAGAGGGAGAGCGAAGTCTCCGTACTCTCGACCATACCAGGGCATTTGGGGGCTAATTTGATATTAATATAATATGACTACACTACATGAAATGGGGTATTAACTGATCAGTAACATTCTTTTATGTTATTTATCGAGAAATTTCCTTTCATTATTACAGAATAAATAAAACATAGAAATCAATATTAATTCTTAACTCCATAAAATCACACATGTTGATTGACATGAGTAAAATGTTTCAATAAAAAAAACAGAAAAATTAAACTTACAAATTCATTTGCTTTGGAAATCAAATAATCACATGCCTGATCAACATTTTCTGGTGCACCCGTTACTAATACTGTATTACCGTCTTCATTAGCGCTATTGATATTTCGTCTACTAGGGAATTCAATGCGTACATTATAGTCTCGCATGACTTTCTGAATAGCATTACCTCTAGCACCGATCAGTCGAGCATGTGTCTAAATGTTAAAAATAGATTTTTTTTAAAGGATATACGCAAATAAAACTTTTATTACTTTGTAACATTCCAAATTTACAACATTAGATAGTTAGAGGTAGCCGACAAGAAACCCTGAACCTAGGATTTTAGTGTTAGTCGACACTTGCAATCTTGAGGAAGCTGGTGCTCCCTGGCGGATTCGACCGCGTAAAACATGACCTTTGATAGTAGAAGTCATGCTTAAGCGACAGGTTTCTGAATGCAGGTGTCTTTGAAGTGAGTAATGTTGATGTTAGGTGAAGGGTAATAGGAAAAAAGTGATAAATTAGTTGGCAAGTTGATGAATCTTTATCGAATGAGGTAGTTAGGACATGTGTTACGTAAGCCTAGTCACCGTATAACTCGACAGACAACATCTACTGATGTAGGAGTAGGTTCAAAGAAAGATAGGGATGACCAAGATATGTTATCAGTCCATGCAGATACTGACTGTTAGACTGATCAGTTGATATGACAAGACAAAAATATGATATCATTAATGTCAATAATTCTTGAATCAATTCAGTACAAACTTTGTTCAACATGATAAATGTGAACTAAAGTTCTAGATGATAACTGCTCAAAATCATATTCGCTTTATTTTCAGTGTGATTTCTAGCCAATATGATAGTTTTTGTATAAAATTAACGTGAACTATAAACAAAATGTGGTTTTGTTCTAATTCTGGTATTTTGCATAGATGTGACATTTTTTAATTAATAATCAAGTGGATATAAAAATCGATATACAGATGGGTGTGTTTTCGGCTAGGGTTATTGTGCTTTTCAGTGAATACATTTTCACTTGTACCAGAATTTTGTGTTTTTACTTCATGTAAAAACAATATAACAGTTGAAAATCGCGGATATAACAGTTGCATAGGTTAGTTTAAACTACCTGATTGAAGTAGTTCCCATAATAAATGCGATCAGTCTCTGTTGACTTTGAGTGATATAGTTCAGGATCGCTCACAATGGCGTAGATGCGTACATCTTCCTCTCCAATATCCCTTTATAATTTCCCACCATATTCTTACGACTTAGTTTTTTTTTAACGTCATCTCTACCACAACATTCCAATCTCTTCTGTAATGCAATATAGATTACTTTCATCTCATCATGCTAATGCGGTATGGCAATCTGGGCCAAGGCACATCTGTGTCTAGCTCGACATTAATGAAAACTGACCAAATAGGCTGTTAATAATCAGTTTCGATAATTATTATTCATGTCGAGTTGCTAATTTTCAACATCTATTTATTATTACTTTATAAGTACAAGTGAAAATATGTTACCCTGAGATTTTTAATATGGAACTAATGGTTATCACTTACAATAAACTATCCATAGAAAAGTATAGATGGTGTTAGGAGATTCGGACGTGTAACTAAAAAGTTCATAAGTACCTGATCCCTTCTTAACAATAATACGCTTGGAAATCTTAATATTCTAACATCAGACAGCAATCACCAAAATATTTTTATATAACACACAAATATTTACCTCTACAGGAATGAATAAATTCTCAGTGACTTCAGCTAATAATTTGTTAATAGTGTTCTCGAGTTCAATTTTCGCTGCAGACACATGTTCCTGATAACCACGTAGAATAATTTTTGCTTGTTTCTCTTTAGGTAATCCTGTCGATGATAATTCATCATTCTCATTATTGCCATTATCATTATTGCTATTGTCTTCTACTGTAGGCTTTGAAATACTACAGAAAGTAATATCATCACTGGTGTCAGTGGTATTGTTGTCAAGTGATGAATGTTCTGGCATTGACGACAATGATGGTTTTAGAACTACTGAACTACTATTATTACTAATACTAGTAGTAGTAGTAGTAGTACTACTACTACCAGTGTCTACACGAATACCAACATCATGTTTAGAGCAGAGATCAGCTCTCATGCTAAGAATACTTGATAAGAATCTAAAGGGAAATTCTACAACTGTTTCATAACTTCGTGCAATTTTATCCGCTTTTATTAGTTCACATTGTTGTAACCATTCGGTTAGATCAGCTTTAGCTGCTTCTATATTCGCTGGTGTACCACGTAAAAAGATGTAGTCGGAACCAGAAGTATGTTGAGGTGGCAGACGTATATTAACCTATAAGAAAAAAACATTAAGATAACTGAATCTATAAATACTAATTATTTGTTTGAATATGTCAACATTAGAATGTATAGGTGTCATTACCAAGGTTTGATTTGATAATTACGAATAAATTGAGCATTGGGTTCATTGTTATAAATAAAAATAATATATTTGTAATATCCCAATGAGTATTAGAATGTATAAAGACGACCGTGGCGAATATCTACACGTTTACATTAAAGCAATACAATTTTCATGACAACTTATTAGAAAATATTCTTTGAAATTACTTAGCATTCTCTTATTAAAATATATTTAACATTTAATGGATTATATACTATAAGATAATTATGAAAATTATCTACAGACTGGGATCAATGCTCGTTGGTACTACTAACAATGTGTGTAAGTAGTTTCTCATGGTGATATGTCATTGTAAATTCACCTACAATTCCGCTATACAACTTACAATAAACAGGCTGATTAAAATGACTCATTTAAACAACAATGAAAATCGTCCAACACCTAATCACGAAATTTGTTGATCAATTTGAATGGAAGGATCTAATCACACTCATTCAACCGTGTACTTCATTTATATTATATGATAGGACAAGCAGAACTACAAATGATGAGTTTAAGATCTTCACATTTGAACTATTTATTCAATCGTTTACTTAACCTGATAAAGTAAATAATGTAAATAGTCACACCACTTTGAATATTTCGTGTACAAAAATTCAAATCATTCATAGAGTATTCAATATGTTGGGCACTGGTTCTGTTTCTCAATGATCACTCAGTCGAAAACCAATCATTTGATCAGTCAACAATTTATCAGGTCGATAACCTCAGACATTTTATTTGTGCTATCATAAAAGAATGAACCTTAGAAAATTAGAATGAGTCGTTTTTTAGATGGTTAGAAAAGATCAACATGAAACCCTGAATCTAAGATTTGTGTTAGTTAACACACACGAAAGTGAACAGCACCTGAAATCTTTAGAAAACGAAGACTTCCTGTGATATTCAAACACTCGTCACAACCACTGAACTATCCGTATTGCAGATGACCTAGGTTCAGATCATCCTAGCTACCAAAAAGAAACATGCTGAATATAGTATCAAGTCAATTAGACTAGCAGCCACAGTTCAACTTGATCGATAGAATACAATCAATATCGAAGACTGATATAACGAGATAAAACGATGACATTATTTAAATTTATATTTCTTGTATAAATTCTTTATGAACTTTGTTCAATGTGACGTTCTAAGGTTAACATTTCTTGTATCAATTCAATGTGAACTTCGCTCAATACGACAAGTGTGAACTTTCGTTCAGTGTGACTTTTTTTTAAAACAGTAACTCTATGTATTTCCCATTATATGTGATATTATTAAGTATGTGTTCTTAAAGAATCAATAAATTTCCATTACACTAGTCTTTTGTGTTTTCACTTAGCCTCATGAGAATTGAGGTGGTTCCCGATTGTCAAATAAAAGTAGCAAAATTGTGGACATAAAAAGATTCGACACATGCATTAGGAGAGACAACGAAGAAATAACAAAGACTAAGCAAATATAATAATGAACTATTCAGTAATTCACACGCTTAAGATTCAATAAAGATTAAACATACAGAATGCTTTTGTTTAATTTCCATAGCTTTAGATAAAGTTTCTGCAGTTGTATTTGTCACTTGGTCAGACGCATTATTATTCCGTTTATTACTATTATTATTGCCACGCAATGAACGACGTGACTGTTCACGTGTTGTTGTATCTGATGGAGTAACTATTAAATTACGATGAAATTCCTGAGGAACTGGGAATGTTTCTTCAATCGGTAGAAGAGGTTTTATGCCTTCTTCAAATACCTGATTAATACGTTCTTGTACGCCTGTTATCACAAGAATGCCAGAAACAGGGTGGAACTCTGATAAAGGAATCAAATAAAGAAAAAAGTGTAATCAGGATCAGAACAGTCAATTACTTCGATTGATGGTCGATTAGTGTATAATAGTGTGGAAACTTTGCATAAAACCAAAAAAATATTACGTACTTTATAAAATTTATCACTTAGACTATTATTAACTCATCAACCAGGGTACAGATAATTCTCAAGTGACAAGACTGTATCAGGCGGAGTAAGGCTCGAACCCAAAATTAAATAACTGAAAATTGAGATCTTTAACCAGAGATACAGCTTAAAATAACTATGTTCATATGATGAATAGAAAAGAAATTTCCTAATTAAGATAAATGAATTAGAAATGAAATAATCAAGTCGTACGTTTTTGAATATATCATTTTGAACTACACCCTGAAGTGGTTTAAAAAGGTACAAAATGAGAGCTCTATAAGTGAATCATTCAAATTGGAGAACATAAAACCTCTAGACGCGTTCCTAATCTCATCCTAACAGTATTTAAAGAGGTTTTAAGCGTTCTATGATTTATACTTTTACAACATTCTTGATGATGGAACCAAAAAATAAACACTAAACAGTAAGTTGATAGTTATGTTTAAGCTTATCAGTCACTAATGCCATATATATATATATATATATCATGACCCTCAAAAAAAGTCGAATACGAGACTTTAGGGTTTCTTAGCAAGTAATTAACCTTGGATCTGAGTTAGCATCCAATAGCTTACATCACTTAGCTTTAAGTAATTTGCGATAATGCACAGCCATCGTAATTATCGATGTATATTATTACGAGAAAAGTTTCATTGTTTCGTAAGAGTAATAACTACAAAAGTGAATTCAGGATAAATGATAAATTTTGTAATAATATCCAATGCAAGTGTGTCAGTCAGTATTTAGAAACGTAGAGGTTGACAAATCTCTGCATCGGTTCAAGTTTTCATACCATATTAGCACGAGATAAAGCTATGAAGACAAATCCAAGAGTAGTAATAGAATCTATTAGTAGTGGTACTATAGGTGAAAGAAAAAAGGTAAACAGATATTTCGGGACTCAAATTCTAAAGGAAGATAAAGAGTGAATGAACCTTATTTATATATTTATTTAAGCACATAAATATTGGTACAAAGGGACACCAAATACATAAGCGCCACACAATAACACTGAGAATGTGAAGAGACAGAGAATCTAAGGTGTGCATACGAAAAAAAGGTGAACAATAACGAGCATAGATTAGCGTATGAGAGTGAAATAATAATAATGGGAGAAACAGTTCAATTAACAAAGTGACAACCAGAAAGAATTCTCCCAGTCAAAGAAGTTACGTCCATTTTTTATAAACGTAAAAAAAGTTACATCAGGATCGCCACTGGCTTCTATTCTGAGCCATATCTGATGACGTCTCTAGCTACTGTGTTGCACCATCTTTAGGACCCCAACTAGGGGATCGTGAAGGACCAACAGAACCCAGTCTGGTACAGTTTTCTTTCATACCATGACGACATGTCGAACACTAACCACCTCTCCACTTTTTCCAATCCGTCCCAGCGTCCGCAAATAATGCACGACGTGGGATTCTCTGGGAGGATATTCGCAGAACATATCCAAGCCATCGAATTCGATGTTTCAAGATGGTGACACCAATTAAATTGTCTCTGTGCTCGAACACACGATGCCGACCCTCTACCACTGGGTAGGCCGACCGTAGCTGCTACCTTGACGCGGTGGTCGACCTTGCCTATCGTGATGACCCAACCGAGCTATATTGGCTGGAACATATGTTCCGTAGGTTCTACCATGCCAGGCAGGTCGATTGGTGAACGGTAAGACTAAAAGCAGCAACTCAACATCTGAGGGCGAAGTCGTACAGCTGACTGTAGAGGGGTGTGACAGCAGTAAGGTGTTTCCCTCGGACAACCAGCATCTACAGCGATGCTGCCTTCCCACAAGGAGGGGTAGGGTTAGAAAAGGTCGACCCTAAAAATGTCACACCTCACCTTACCTCATGGATTTCTTTCTCCGGCGGTAAGTCCCTTTGAAGAACGAAGCTAACACATTAAAAACCTTCCACAAAAAGACCGTGCGCGACCGGCCTCAAGTAGTTGTCGCTTGGGCTCTGCGGTCACGCTCCCAGACCGTTAAGACCAACACTAATCCAATTTCCTTTTCAGTTTCCTCAAAAAATACCCTTCCACGGTGTGGGCAGCCAGGAAGTGATATCATCCCTCATACTCGTAACAGCATACCCGATTAACCTATACATCTTGTTCAAAGTCTCTAACCATCGGTTACAATAATCGCGTGGACTACTACAATCAGATAGTCTACAACCACTAACATAGCTCAGTTCAACTGTCAATGACTTTATGAACTCATGTCAAGTATTGGTTTGACCACCTCTAACTTCCTTCTGTAAAGTAAATGTATGACATAAACTGATATGCACGTCATACGATGAATACAACTACATAAGTTGTAACTACTTGAACAAGTTGCAGTAATCAACAGACAATGGAAATACACTAAACAAATTTGGTATTTATTTCTTTTCTAAGAAATATTAAGTAACCCAACAAACAATGACTGATTCATGAACTCAAACCTGAGACGCGACTGTTCAAATTAAAATAGATGAGAAAAAATTTGAACTTATAATTCATTGTTTTAAATTCAATTGATAATTGATTATGACTATTTATTATTTCTACTACTTCAGATTGCTTAATTTAGCATCACACTTATTTGCAATTTTATCTAAGAAGAATTGGAATTTGTTGAGTGTATGAAGTTAATAGATAGTAAACTGTGTTTGAGCTAGGTTTCGAGATAGTTGTCATCTTTAGGGAACTAATGTTCTTTGTGAGATGCGAACCCGCATCATCATCCACTACAACACTCTGGACTATTTAGACAGAGACTGAACTCCTGTAGAAGTGAGGAATTTACAACTGATTAATCAACAAGTAGTAGTCAATGTAATGCTTACTTTTTCCTCAGTGCTAATCGAATTCTATTGATCCAATTGCAACTCGACCAGCACTAATTACTAGAAAAACAATGGTCATTACTTGGTGATCATCTAATTTACAGATCTCATTTGATATGTGTGAGGGCTGTGATACTGCTCGGGTGCCCAGACCGAAGCAGGTGGTTTTCTTAGGGGGCCACACTCGGAGCCTCTGACCTAAAGGTCTGACCCACAAGGCAGTGGAGCATCGTGAGGAGATGCAGTCCCATGGTAGCAAGTGGCCAACGATTGGTTCATACGTCATTTGTTTCCTTAGGATCCTGGAGCCAGTGTGCACCATTGGTTTGGAATCCGGTTAAAGCGCCGGACGTTCGCTTTTCGTCCTCTCATTTTCAAAAGCAACACCCCCGCCACGAGAAGGCAGTGAGTAGGACTTCCCTGGCAGATGCTATATACGCATGACCGTGTGAGAGCGTTTCGAGAGGGCGAATGGACTCTCCCCACTCATGGCCGTAGCAGGGGGGTTGACCATCTAATGTGGAATTAAACTAGTATTAAACCTAGTATTCTTTTTAATAATTAAATGGTTATTTTGACACAGAGAAGGCAAGACGGTGAAAGATCGAGGCGTTTATTTTTATTATTATTATTATTATTATTATTATTATTACTTATGCAGGGTTTCATTTAAGAAGAAAAAAACGAATAAGAACAAAATTACAAATTATAAACATTTACCTGATTGATTAACTGGTCTCTCATCAAATGTTGAATAACTATCAAAGTCAGAATTATCAAATGAACGACTAAATCTAATCTGCACTCTATATAATCGTTCGAGTTCCGGCAGATGCGAACGATTACGTTCCAATACAGAAATATGACTAGGATCAGTGAAAGGAAATTCTTGAACTATTTGTTCTTGCATATCTTTGATAATTTGTTGCAAAATTTGAGCTGCAGTCTTTTATTTTATTAATTAAAAAAGAAAATATTGATAAATATATATTTACATTTACTTAGACAAGATTTGATACACATATCAGTTAGTCAATCATAAGAAACGTTGGACCTAGGATTTATGTGGCGATGTATGCGACTCCATATCAACAGTCAGTCAGCTACAACATGGGACCAGGCACATATGTGCATCGGTCCAGGTTGCCATACTTCATTAGCACAGCAAGATGAACACCGGATTCATAGGAGTGGTTAGGACAAAGATGGTAATATATAGGAGGAAGATTGTAATAAGGATATAGTATAGGAAGAAAGAATTAGTTAGTAGAAAGAAAGATATGAAGTGATTTTAATCTCTAATTTATTTATTTGAACACATAAATATTGGTACAAGAGAGAGCCAATATATATGCGCCACACAAAACACTGAAAATTCGAAGAGAGATAGAAAAAAAACTAAGGAGCGCAAAAGAAAAAGAGAACGATAACGAAGAGATTGGTGTAAGGTAGTGTGGTAGTAACGAGGGTACGGAAAGGTACAATCAGAAGAAATCTTTCAGGTAAGGGAGACACAACCACTTTTTAGGAAGAAAGTAAAAGAATGTTACAGCAGGATCGCCACTGGCTTCTATTCTGAGCCATATCTGATAACGTCTCTAGCCACTGTGTAGCACCATCTCTCAGACCCCAACCAGGGAGTCGTGAAGGACCAACTCAAGCCAGTCTTTTGCAGCTTTCTTTCATGCCACGACACCATGTCATGTACTGACCAGCTCTCCGCTTATTCCAACCAGTCCTAGAGTCGGCAAATAATGCACGACGTGGAATTCTCTGAGACAACATTCGTAGAACATGTCCAAGCCACCGAAGTCGGTGTTTCAAGATGGTAACACCAATTGAATTATCATCTCTGCACCCGAACACACGATGCCTCACCTCTGCATTACTGACATGGTGTTGCCACTGAATGTCAGCGATCCTTCGGAGACAACGATGATCAAACACAGAGAGTCGTCTAACGTCCTCAACTCAGAGAGGTCAGGTTTCACAAGCATAGAGCAAAACTGCTCTCACCGACACGTCGTAGATCCGACCTTTTACAGCCAGACTAACATCACGAAGGTGCCAAAGGTGGCCCAGATTGGCATAAGCCACTCTGGCTTTCACTATACGTGCATTGATCTCATCACTCACACCCCCACCAGCACTTATGCAGCTACCCAGATACACGAACTTCTCGACTACTTCTATCTGCTCACCATCCAGGGTGAGTACAGGATTGGAATCCTGCCAGTCTTGTAGAAGTACTTTGCACTTCGAAGGTGTAAAGCACATACCATACCTACGGACACTGATTGCCAACTGATTAAGTACGGATTGCATGCCTTGGGCATTATCGCACAGTAAGACAATATCGTCCGCATACTCAAGGTCGAGAAGTCTTTCTCCAGGCAACAGATCCACACCACCATTACTTACATTCATCAGAGCTGTTTCCAGAATGTCATCAATGGTAAAGTTGAAGAGGAATGCTGAGATTGGGCAACCCTGCCTAACCCCACTGCTCGAATGGAACAATGGAGAGAGGTGGTTGTATGCCCTCACTCTGCCTGAGGCGTTTTTATATAGGGCTTTTAGGATGTTAATAAACTTCTCAGGCAAACCCTTCTGCAATAGACAATCCCAGAGAACAGTCCTGTACAACGAATCGAAGGCAGCCCTGATGTCAAGAAACACTACGATCGTTGGCCTTTGATAATCTTAGTTTAAGGGAAGACAGGGAGTGTATACACCGACGCCATTGTGATCGATTCTGAGCCATATCACCAAGAGTTTGTAAAATCTCCGAGATTGTACAAATAAATTCTTCCTCTTTAATGTCTCAGATTAACTCGGCGCCCAAATACTGTGAAACTATTCGATCATATGTAGACGAAAGTTCTTATTTAAAAATAAAAGTTGTAGTGTGATACATATTTAAAGAAAACACACAAACATACTTCAACACAAGCTTTAGAGCCAATTAATTTAATATACAAAGGTTCAGTGGAATGTTCAGTTGAATTTTCTGGATTGGATTGCATATGATTATTGTAACGAGGCATTATTACACGGACAGTTTCTAAATCGGGATTGGGGAAATTACGACGATACTGGTTAATTCCTTTCAATATAGACGGATCAACTGGAATTGATTTTTCCACTTCATCTTCCTATAAAAAAGATACGGAAATGAAATAATACACAATAATATGGTAATTTAAAAGGTTTGGTTTCACATTAAACGTGTTTGAACATGCCCGTGAGCATTGAATGCCTTGCATAAAGCGGTAGTTAATTGCATGGGGATTCGATTTACAGCCAATAAGTCTCAGATCCAAACTTCATGCCACCTAGTACGTTTTGTGCAACTGGTAAGTCTGAATAGCTTCTACACTTTGATTGTGGCTCAAAATCAAGTACAAAAATTCATACCTCGTAAATGAGATTATCTAATTTAGGTTATTTAGCGCTTGATTAGGTCAGTGGTAACATTTCTCTGCTCCTGAAATTGAGTTTGAATCCTATCACATGTTAGGCCGTATACAGTCAGTAACTGATTTTACTTTTCCCGGGAAGAACTAAGTCTCCGGAGAGGAAATGGAATAAGAGTGCGAACATGTCTATTATTCAATCTTCAATATCTTCCATACTGGAGTTATGAAAAAAGAGCTGATAGAATTCCCATACCCATTAATTACAATTAAGGAAATCTAATGGAAATTTCACAATACAGACTAAAGTATCTAATGTATAATTGATTTCATGTAATCCAGTTTACAATGATAACCCACCTAAGTATGAAATAAGACAAATGATAGTAATTTTGAAACTGTAACGACCAAGTGTAGTAGTGGTATAATAAATATTCAATCCTATCACTGAGACATCGGGTAGAAGATGAGAGATAATACGATAATTGACAATACATTTATTTTATTTAACACGTAGATATTGGTACAAGAGGGTACCAGATACATATGCGCCATATAAATCTCATTTGATATGTGTGAGGGCTGTGATACTGCTCGGGTGCCCAAACCGAAGCAGGTGGTGTCCTTAAAGGGCCACACTCGGAGCCTTCGACCTGAACGTCTGATCGCAAGGCAGTGGAGCATCTTAAGGAGATGCAGTTCCATGGTGGCAAGTGACCAACGATTGGTTCATACGTCATTTGTTTCCTTAGGATCCTGGAGCCAATATGCAACATTGGTTTGGAATCAGGGTTTTCCAACTCCACTTAGTGGACTCTCCATGTCCACCAACCCGGTCAAAGCGCCGGACGTTCGCTTTACGTTCTCTCAATTTCGTAAACAGCACCCCCGCCACGAGAAGGCAGTGAGTAAGACTTCCCTGACAGAGACTATATACGCGTGGCCATGTGAGAGCATTTCGAGAGGAAGAACGAACTCTCCTCACTCTCCACCGTACCACGGCATTTGATGGCAATGGAGAAAAAACGATCAGGCACGAGATCGCTAGATCGGTCCTCGATCGATACACTAGGCAATAGAATACCATAGGTGATTATGTGAACTCAGATATACAGGGTCCAACCATTGACTGAGAAACAGATTATCAGCCAGACCAACAGTTTAATGAAATCAATTACAAGCGGTCAACACAAAGTAAATCTATACTAAAAGTAACAGTCTTCAAGATTTACGACAGCAGAATGTGTAAACCTTCACTTTTTGACCAATCACATCAGATTTTCTCGAACATACGGAGGATTTAAAAACAGAAAACGCTTTATCTCTACAATTCATTACATAATAAAAACCACTTATAAAAGCAGCAAAATAATTCTCGTAAGAAAAAACATTAGTATTCACAATAAAAGCAGATGAAAATCGATAATAGTGTACAATTACCAAAGATTTTAAAACATCTTCTAATTCACGTTTCGCTTCCGACACCGCAGATTTTGTACCAACAATTCGGATTTCACAAGCCAATTTCGGATCGGATTCAAAACGATCAGGGAACACCAATTCAACATTATGACGGCGACGAAACTGCGTTATGTTCGATGCGTGTCGGCCTATAAGAATACCATGAAATCTAGGATTGGCATGAACAATTTCCTAACATTATGAGAAAGAAAGCAATGAAAACCACAAAAAACAATCACAGGAAAACAAGGAAACGAGAAGTAAACGTAATAAGCGAGAGAAATCAAGCGACAAAACGGTAAAAAAGAATAAACCACAACATTAATAATAACGATGAAAAAAAAATATTGACATGATAAACTTTAAGGAACACCAAAAACGAAAAATCGTTACGAAAGCAAATATCACAAAAACATCGCGAATGAAAAGTACAAAAAGCTATTACAGACATTCAGGAAAACCAATACAGCAATGAGATTCAACAGAAAAATCTCGAAAAGACAAAACTTAAAATAAAAATAAAAAAAGAAACGTATAAAAAAAATCCCTAATATGCTGATCACAAACAAACTAAACACAAAATGCATAATTAAGAAAAATATTTCAAACCGCGACAAACACAGTAAATTAAAAATTCAAATCAAAAACATTCATAGCAATCAAAAACAAGGAACTGAATAGTCTACACTACAGTCCCGCAATTCCTCATACATCCATACATCAATCCATCATGCATTCATTCAATCAATCAATCAGTCACATCGACAGTCAATCTAATCACATCACCATCAACAAACTCATCATACGGCATAACTATAACAACAACAATCAAGTCCATCACAAACCTCTCACACAGGAAACATAAACATGTTTCGCACACGGTTTGTCAACACGATCACAGTTTTCTATAACTAACGGTGAACATGGAATGTGTGCGAACGGGTAAGGCCGAAATCATATCAACTTCAGCACCCCAAAATAACATCAATTTAAGACAGTGGGTTCGCAGAAAGATCAATAACATCCTCTGCATTCTAAATACCCTCTCACAATTACACCGATATCGTACGATCAGTCGATCGACAACATCAAGGCGCATTGACACTGTCTACTATCAATCAACCATTCTCATTTTACTCATAGTCACAAATACAAAATTATATCACTCCACTTACATCAACTACATACAAACAGCAAATACATCATCTACACATCCATACATCAATCCATCAAACAATTAACTATTCTAAACACCCACCAGCAACACTTAACACCAATCACCATCACAACAATTCACCCCACATTCACATCAAAACATCAACTATTAAATATTCCATCTCTGCAGAACCATTATCACAATAAACACCTTCAACAACAACACCCATCAACACATCTACCAAAACATACATACATCCATCATACATTCTTTCATCCATTCATTTTCATTCAATCAATCAATCAGTCACATCGACAGTCAATCTAATCACATCACCATCAACAAACTCATCATACGGCATAACTATAACAACAACAATCAAGTCCATCACAAACCTCTCACACAGGAAACATAAACATGTTTCGCACACGGTTTGTCAACACGATCACAGTTTTCTATAACTAACGGTGAACATGGAATGTGTGCGAACGGGTAAGGCCGAAATCATATCAACTTCAGCACCCCAAAATAACATCAATTTAAGACAGTGGGTTCGCAGAAAGATCAATAACATCCTCTGCATTCTAAATACCCTCTCACAATTACACCGATATCGTACGATCAGTCGATCGACAACATCAAGGCGCATTGACACTGTCTACTATCAATCAACCATTCTCATTTTACTCATAGTCACAAATACAAAATTATATCACTCCACTTACATCAACTACATACAAACAGCAAATACATCATCTACACATCCATACATCTATCCATCAAACAATCAACTATTCTAAACACCCACCAGCAACACTTAACACCAATCACCATCACAACAATTCACCCCACATTCACATCAAAACATCAACTATTAAATATTCCATCTCTGCAGAACCATTATCACAATAAACACCTTCAATAACAACACTCATCAACACATCTACCAATGCATCCATACATTCATCATACATTTCTTCATTCAATCAATCAATCAGTCACATCGACAGTCAATCTAATCACATCACCATCAACAAACTCATCATACGGCATAACTATAACAACAACAATCAAGTCCATCACAAACCTCTCACACAGGAAACATAAACATGTTTCGCACACGGTTTGTCAACACGATCACAGTTTTCTATAACTAACGGTGAACATGGAATGTGTGCGAACGGGTAAGGCCGAAATCATATCAACTTCAGCACCCCAAAATAACATCAATTTAAGACAGTGGGTTCGCAGAAAGATCAATAACATCCTCTGCATTCTAAATACCCTCTCACAATTACACCGATATCGTACGATCAGTCGATCGACAACATCAAGGCGCATTGACACTGTCTACTATCAATCAACCATTCTCATTTTACTCATAGTCACAAATACAAAATTATATCACTCCACTTACATCAACTACATACAAACAGCAAATACATCATCTACACATCCATACATCTATCCATCAAACAATCAACTATTCTAAACACCCACCAGCAACACTTAACACCAATCACCATCACAACAATTCACCCCACATTCACATCAAAACATCAACTATTAAATATTCCATCTCTGCAGAACCATTATCACAATAAACACCTTCAATAACAACACTCATCAACACATCTACCAATGCATCCATACATTCATCATACATTCCTTCATCCATTCATTTTCATTCAATCAATCAATCAGTCACATCGACAGTCAATCTAATCACATCACCATCAACAAACTCATCATACGGCATAACTATAACAACAACAATCAAGTCCATCACAAACCTCTCACACAGGAAACATAAACATGTTTCGCACACGGTTTGTCAACACGATCACAGTTTTCTATAACTAACGGTGAACATGGAATGTGTGCGAACGGGTAAGGCCGAAATCATATCAACTTCAGCACCCCAAAATAACATCAATTTAAGACAGTGGGTTCGCAGAAAGATCAATAACATCCTCTGCATTCTAAATACCCTCTCACAATTACACCGATATCGTACGATCAGTCGATCGACAACATCAAGGCGCATTGACACTGTCTACTATCAATCAACCATTCTCATTTTACTCATAGTCACAAATACAAAATTATATCACTCCACTTACATCAACTACATACAAACAGCAAATACATCATCTACACATCCATACATCAATCCATCAAACAATCAACTATTCTAAACACCCACCAGCAACACTAAACACCAATCACCATCACAACAATTCACCCCACATTCACATCAAATCATCAACTATAAATTATTCCATCTATTGATTAATATTATGATCTCGCGAATCGTGTTTTGGGAATATTATTTTCGTCGGTGTTTGGTGTTTCTATGAGTATTTCGTACAATTTTTCTATTGTTCCGTGATCTCTTATATCAGCTCATTGTTGATGATATTTGTTTTTCATGGTGTCGTTGTGTTTCTAAACGTATCGTGCATGATTACTATTATGTCTGAGTTTCTTGATTTTTTTTCCCATTGGTTAATTGAAATTACATATTTATCATTAGTTTAGTATATTTTTCGGTTAATGAGTTATGATCATTATTTTGCTGTTTCAAGCTTACCTCAGCACATAATTGTGATACTCTTGCGTTGAGTTGATCTAACAACGCACATGCTTGTTGAACTTCTTTTTCTGGTCCAAGTACAATTATCTCCATATGACTTAATTTATTTGCTTGTCCTTTAGTATTTTTATTATGATTATTATTTGCAAATCTTATATGTACTCCTTCACACTGTTCGCAAATTGACCTTAAACTTGGAGCTTGATCTCCAGCGAATTTAGTTGTCAAAGCTGATGGTATAGAAACAGTTACTTCTTTAACAGTAGCCTTCGAAATAAATAAGAAATATATATATATAAAACAAACAGACAAAATTAATAAATGTACAAGATAGGAAATAGAATTTATACAAATATTTCATGGTTGTATTATGAAATATTCTTTACTCTTCCATATCATCTATTGGAATTCTGTTGGATTATGTTTTGGTGCGTTTGTACTTGCATCATAAACATCCACATTATATTTACTTTATACATTCGGATTGGCAATAAGTTCCAGTCACGTGCGATAGGATGCTCAAGTTTACGAACATGGACAAACGGCTTTTCAATGCATCCCGGTTTTCATCAGATGTCATATTGAAGTAAGTCGGTGGTGCAAATCTTTAAAGGTAATTCTTATGTTTCTTCGAAGATATTTAACAACAGGCCCATTAACCACAGTCTTTAGTCTAAATACACTATAAAATCATTTGGTTTTACGAGCGTAGCTCGTGCGTATGTGTTTATCGAAGGGTTGATAGAGGGCGATCCATAGGGATCGTTTGTAATATGACCAACAACGAGAATCAAGTCCAAAAGGACGGAGAAACTGACAAACATAATCAACTAACCCTACATAAAACACTGACAGTATTAATAATAATAATAACAATAATAATAATAATAATAATAATAATAATAATAATAATATTGATAATAGACTAGAGTGGATAATGAGTGAAAAATTCACTGCAACTACTAGTTATGGGGGTAAGATTATTCATGAATTATTACATAAATCAATAAGTCGAATTGTCCCGTTGTTGATATATTTTTGGCTGAAATTTGATCAGTCTTGGTCGGGATTTGTGCATCCTATGCGGATTATTAACCAAGACAGATTTAATTTCAGTTAAATATCAACAACAGGACAATTTAAACCATTTCAAAATGAATTAAGACTCGTACCAGTTTCAAAAGTGAATGGCGATCCAGATTCAGTAACTAAGTGGATAAAGCGATGGCATTTAAAGCGAACGACAATGATTTTGAGTCCCGGAGTGAACATTAACTCTAAGATGCAGCCACATCCAGCTGATGAGTCTCAAATAGAACGAAATGTGCGTCGTGGATTCCACTCCTAGTCAAATTCCATCTATTTGCTAACAATGATTTGGAATGAAGATGTTTAAACACAACATTCTAGGCTGTTTGAAACGAAGAATGCCTTTCTGGAGAAATAGATTAGGCAAAGTCCTTACTACAATACACTTTTTTAAAGCTGGAGATGGATTCGGATTCATAAAGCAATCTATTTGAAGTTTAAATTTTCACAAGATTTAAAAGAAAAACTGCTTTTCCAATTCGAATATAACACAAGTGTTTTCATGTCAGAGAATCGAATGCAATTTGTGGAAATAATATTTACTGTGGATAAGTCCATACAAAAATATCAGAGCACGTTTGCTAAACAATAATGGCAAAAATGGCAAAACTTACAGGGACAAAATTTAAAGTGAATATGTCTATCATACCCAAAACTTTTAATTTCATACTACTAAATAAGGTATGATTAGAATATCAACCACAGAGTACTGTGATAATTTTACTAGCACTGGAGCCCCGACCGTTGTTGCTACCTTGACGTGGTGGTCCGGCTTGCCTATCGTGATGAAGCAACCGAGCTACATTGGCTGAAACAACCGTTCCTCAAGGTCCTACCACGTCAGAAAGGTCGGTTGAAGAGCGGCAAGACTAAAAGCAACAAACCCAAGGTCTGAAGGCGAAGTCGTACTGCTGACTGTACAGAGGTGTGACAGCAGTAAGGTGTTTCCTTCAGACAACCAGCATGACAGCGATGCTGCCTTCCCACAAGGAGGGGTGGGGTTAGAAAAGGTCGACCCTAAAAATGCACACCTCGCCTTATCCTACGGATATCCGTCTCCGGCGGTAAGGTCTCAACAAGTACGGAGCTAACACAAAAATTGCCCATAAAAAGGTCGTGTGTGACCGACCTCAAGCAGTTGTCCCTTGGGCACTGCGGTCACGCTCCCAGGTCACTAAGACCACTTCTAATCCGATTTCCTTTTCAGGAACCTCCAGAAGAACCCTTCCACGGTGTGAGCAACCGGGAAGTGATAACCGCCCTCATACCTCCAACAGCACTCAAGACCACTGGATTCAACTAAGGATATGGAGTGAAGTGGTCGAACGCGTCGACAACTTCACTTATCTTGGAAGTCTGATCAGCCCTAATGGGCTGGCATCGGACGAAATCTCAGCACGGATTCGAAAAGCTCGTTTGGCTTTTGCCAACTTACGTCACCTGTGGCGAAGGCGAGATATCCGTCTATCAATAAAAGGACAAGTATACTGCACGGCAGTCCGTTCTGTTTTAATTTACGGCAGCGAAACATGGCCTTTAAGAGTAGAAGACACTCGTAAGCTACTAGTATTTGACCACAGATGCCTTAGAAATATTGCTGGCATCTGCTGGGATCACTGGGTAAGTAATAGTGAGGTTAGACGCAGGGTATTAGGGAATGATGGTAAATCAGTTGATGAGGTTGTGAATCTTCATCGACTGAGATGGTTGGGCCACGTGTTACGTATGCCTGAACACCGATTACCACGACGTGCAATGCTAACGGGTGTTAGAGATGGTTGGAAGAGAATTAGGGGCGGCCAAACCAAAACGTGGCATCAGTGCTTGAAGACACTAACCTCTAGTCTGAGCCATGTTGGTAGATGCAGACTACTTGGTTGGGGTCCGCGTGACTTTCGTAACCGATGGTTGGAGACTCTTGGTGACATGGCTCAGAATCGATCACAATGGCGTCGGTGCATACACTCCCTGTCTTCCCTTAAACTAAAAGATTAAAATCGCTTCATATCTTTCTTTCTACGAACTAATTCTATATTCCGGTACTGTATCCTTATATGCAATCTTTCTCCTATATATTACCACCTTAAACCTAACCACTCCCATGAATCCGGTGTTCATCTTGCTGTGCTAACGAGGTATGGCAACCTGGACCGATGCATATATGTGCCTGGTCCTACGTTGTAGCTGACTGACTGACTGAGCACTGGAGCATACATAAAAAAATAATTCAATTTACCAAACACAATGAACAAACGATATTTCCTAAACATTGAATTCATACGGTGAGACTACCAATTTATCAATGCTTGAAAAAAGGTTAACGAACCAGTTTCTTTTGTAATTCTTCTAACTGTTCAATTGCCCTGCGCACATTTTCCTCTCGTCCAATTACAGTGAAAATTTCAGGATTAGAACCAACACTAGGGTTTTGCAGACGTGTTTGTGTATCTTCAAGAATTTTACGCACTCTTGGATATTCACGTCCAAGAAAACTAGACCGTACCTCTTTGAAAATATATATCTGTAGATGAGAAGTAATAAATAAATAAATATATACATATATACACCAGGATTTCCAAAGACCATCTGTGTAACTTCTTGTCTGTGTCCCAGCCTGCTCATCACATTATTTATATCATCCAAATACGATTGTACAGCTTTTGAAATTAAAGATATTGGAAAAAATCATTTTCAATAAAGTGAAGAAAACAGCGGATGTGGATAAAAAAGATTGATAATTTACACAATTATTTACCAAGTCTTCCTCGACCATTAGAGAGATTATAGACATTAAAAACGTTTGTTCAATGTCCAAATAAGACACTTTATGCTAGAGAATGACAAATAATCATCATGGAATCATTGCATACTTACAACTATTTTGCACTTGGTAACTGAACTGAGTGAGTGGTTCATATGTTTGTGTATTTTCTTTTGAAACACCGAATTACGAATTTAAACACTGCTTTACATGCCTCAAAGTTAAGTCCTCTCAAATAGTGGCTACACTTCAACTTGCTCGAGAAAATTCAATCAACACTAAGGTGATTAAACAAACATTGGTCAGCTGAATAAACACATCCAACAAAGTTTATCACTTTCATAGATCAGATCACGAAATGATATTAGCTAGAATACTATTGAAGACCTGAAAGCACGGGACAGCTGATCGGTCAAAGTGTGAGATTTTTCAGCAGTGCGCATCCACGACCCCGCTACAAAGAATCACGCTTAAGACATTCGATTGCATTAATCAATATGTTGATGAATGATTTTAGATATTGATACCATCAAAAGAAAACTTTTAATTAAATGCATAAACATTGATATTCAATCCTACCTCTTGTCTATAGTTCTCCTCTTTCACTAATTTAATAAGTTTGTTTAACTTTTCACTTGCTGCATCGACTTGCTGACGATCACCTCTTAGTTGAACAATACTTTTAGTTGGATTTTCTTCAAACATGGAATCATTTGCATCATTTTCAGGCCATATAATACGTACTTGAGGGAATGTTTCGTAAATGGTACGAATATAAGAAGTTCCATTTATGGTTGAACGTAACAAATTCTGGATATGAGGATCAATAATCACATCTTTGCATTTCTCATTCTCCTAAAACAATATAAACGATGAAACAATCCTTAGTTCCTTTTCACAGAAAAAAAGGATTCGTAAATAACTCAATGAGACGTTAATTTGTGAAAATAGCACGTAACGAACAACAAAAGATATGAAACATTTTTACATCGACTTAGATACATCAAGTTTTAACGATATATATTGAGAACAGACCAATAATGGTCAGGTAGTAAATCTAATTAAGGTAGAATTGAGCAGTAGACAAATACTTAAAAAAAGGTATGTCAAAGTATGACGAAACTGCACAAAATGTTTACATGTTTGCTTCATAAACACCATAATGAACTTTGTATGGATATAAGCCCTAAACTGCCTCTTACTACGAAAAATTCTTAATGACATGTTCATCTTTCCTAATTCACGCCCCATATGCCGTGGTACGGTCGAGAGAGGGGAGAGTCCGCTCTCCCTCGAAAAATGCTCTCACATGGCCACGCGTATGTAGCCTCTGTTAGGGAAGTCCTACTCATTGCCTTCTCGCGGTGGGGGTTTGTTTACGAAATTGAAAGGACGAAAAGCGAATGTCCGGCTCTTTAACCGGGTTGGTGGACATGGCGAGTCCTCATAGGGGAGTTGGAAAACCCTGATTCCAAACCAATGGTGCACATGGGCTCCAGTATCCTGAAGGAAAAAATGGAGTATGAACTAATTATTGGTCACCGGCTACCATGGGACTGCATCTCCTTAAGATGCTCCACTGCCTTGTGGATCAAACCTTTACATCGAATGCTCCGAGTGTGGCCCCCTAAGAAAATCACCTGCTTCGGTTTGAGCACCCGTGAAGTATCATAGCCCTCATACAAATCAAGTGAGAGTTGTGTGGCGCATATGTATCTGGTGCCCCCTTGTACCATTATCTATGTGTTCAAATAATAATAATAATAATAATAATAATAATAATAATAATAATAATAATAATAATAATAGTACTAGTAATAATAATAATTCCTAATTCATAGGATATTATTATTGTTACTAATGTCACAACGACACAGCATGAAGTAACATCACATTTCCTTCGGTATTGTTGCTTGTCATAAATGATTATTATGAGGTAACTTCAACTCGATAAGCAAACCTGAATAACTTTGTCACGTTTAAAAACCCAAACATACAATATGGTTAGTTTTAACCAGAACCATTACGTGCGAATAAAAAGTTTGTAGGCTATTTGTCAAAGTGATGACTCAGTAGTCTGAGAGGCATAGCATTAACAACACTGGACAACGGGGCTTAGATCATCATTGAAACTATATACACCTTTATAAGAAGTCACTGACAAGTGGTCTGAGTCATGTTAATAGGTGTAGACTACCTGGTTGGGGACCGCGAGATGATAGCAACCGATGGTTAGAGACCCTGAATGACATGGCTCAAAATCGTTTGCAATGACGCATGTGCATACACTCTTTGTGTTCTCCCAAATTTTGATCTCCTTATTCCTCCTTGTCTCTTTTTTTTCTCTTCCCAAATTTATTTCACTGTATTATACTCTTTAAGTAACATCTCTAAACACTAATCTTCCCGATTACTGCTTATACTCTTATTGCCTCTACCACTACGGGATTTGAATCGACCACTGCATCTCTGTGCTAATGTGGTGTGGCAACTCGAACTGATGTACGTACGTACGAAGTTCTACGTTGTTACTGACTGATTGACTGATTACTGCAGTATGCTATCAGGAAAATAGGTTCATGATTTTAAAAAATTTCACACGACCGATATAAAGTGAAGTTTAATAAACAATTTACGTCACTATTAAGTTAGGACTACCCAGATCTCCTAAAATTGTTTATTAGACCTGAGATTTTACTACTTATTTTGGACTAATTTTTTTATTTTATTTTAAATTAGTTCTCCATACTTAATTCCCTCCATACTTTATGTTCTCTATTTTCATGACGTTTTAATAAATCATTCTGATCCCTCCACTTCCCAAGAGCGTTGCACACACATTTATAAAAAATAAGTATCCCCATAACCGTCTTTGAGAATTTCATAAAAACTTCTAGTCAAAATTAGACTTTCTCCCCTTGTAAAAGCCAAAACCAGATACACAAAAATGAATTGGACTTATATTCACTATATGTGTATGAAGCTGTGTGAAAAACAAACATATTTCTAAAAATAAGAAAATACGTACCAGTCTCTCCACCAATTGCTGAATTTCAAGCTTTGCCTTTTCAACTCCAACTGGATCGCCTTCTATCACTATTTCATCAGAGAAAGCATCACCTCGATCTGAATCAGGAAGTCTAACGCGTACTTTATAGTCACGCAAACGACCAATGGTAGCTCCTTGTTTACCAATTATGTGTCGGTAGTACTTGGGATCTACTTTTACTGCCGCCATAGCAACAGTAGCTTGTAGTTCTGCTAAGCGGTTTTTTAAGCGCTCGACAATAACTTCGACTTCTTCACAAGGACCTTCAACAGAGATTCTGTCGGTGTTATCTCCAAAGCTTACTTGAACCTATACGTGTACAAAGTGTATTAGCAGGTTTAATAAACGGACAATGACTATCTATTTTACTGTAGATAAAAATATAGCCTTATAGCAATTTTTGCCCAAAATAGGAAAGATGGAGAAATATTCAAAAATTACTATTAGTAGATAATATTTTAGAAATAAAAAATGTACAAGCTGATTATACAATATGCATAACATTATTAATCAACCAATTAAAGGTTTGTGCACGTGGTTTTGAGACATGCCTTAAGTGAGAGAACTAGTGATAACAGCAAACTTCTTAAACCCATATAATGTGGAGTGAGGTTGAAGCTAGAAAACCATGGGTGTTTTAACATCAAAACGTAGCAAACGATTGAGTCCCGATATAGCAGTGTTTCTTTTAATATGGCTTTATTCAATATTATATTTTGGTACAATATAGAATTCTCAGCACAATGTATACTAACAAGTTTCTTTTACAAAAAAACCTAAACAACGAAAAAGGAAAAAGGTGAAAAAAAGACCTGAAACTGTACAACTTTCCAAATTAAAGACATGTTTAAGAATACAGGTTATTGAATTGGTAAACTCTGACAACCTGTTCGTCACAGAGTATATTTGCTAGGTAAGGTATTATAGAACTTTTATACTTTTGCTTGAGTCAAAGATTTTAATGTAATTATGTGTCGTTATACCAGAACATATACAAGGAGAAAAATATGAGTGAAGGGAATGGTTAGTATCTGATAAGATAACACCTGCCATGAGTTTGCAAAACTTCAAATGTCTATCCACAACCATATTATTAATAACCTCAAAAGATTCACCACACACCTTGCTAACTGCTTTCAGCACTCTCCGCAATACAGCGAAATCTTTTATCAAAACCTCGGAGGAGAATAATAGATGATATGCAGGAATTTAAAAATTGTAAGAGTAAATAACCAGTAATCCCAAAAGTATGCAGCCTCTTCATATAGTCAGTCAGACGCAAACTTTCTTGATAACAATAAAACATGAGAAGACCAAAAGGGATCAGAGGAAAAAGTAACACCAAGATAATTGACCTTTGACACTGTGTTTATCAAAGTCTCCAATGGCAAAAGCGTTATGGGATCCTAAGATGGTGTTTTATTATTTATTTATTTATTTATTAATTTGAACACATAAATATTGGTACAAGAGAGAGCCAATATATATGCGCCACACAAAACAATGAAAATTCGAAGAGAGATAGAAAAAAAACTAAGGAGCGCAAAAGAAAAAGAGAACGATAACGAAGAGATTGGTGTAAGGTAGTGTGGTAGTAACGAGGGTACGGAAAGGTACAATCAGAAGAAATCTTTCAGGTAAGGGAGACACAACCACTTTTTATGAAGAAAGTAAAAGAATGTTACAGCAGGATCGCCACTGGCTTCTATTCTGAGCCATATCTGATAACGTCTCTAGCCACTGTGTAGCACCATCTCTCAGACCCCAACCAGGGAGTCGTGAAGGACCAACTCAAGCCAGTCTTTTGCAGCTTTCTTTCATGCCACGACACCATGTCATATACTGACCAGCTCTCCGCTTCTTACAACCAGTCCCAGAGTCGGCAAATAATGCACGACGTGGAATTCTCTGGGACGACATTCGTAGAACATGTCCAAGCCACCGAAGTCGGTGTTTCAAGATGGTAACACCAATTGAATTATCATCTCTGTGCCCGAACACACGATGCCTCACCTCTGCATTACTGACATGGTGTTGCCACTGAATGTCAGCAATCCTTCGGAGACATCGATGATCGAACACAGAGAGTCGTCTAACGTCCTCAACTCGGAGAGGCCAGGTTTCACAAGCATAGAGCAAAACTGCTCTCACTGACACGTCGTAGATCCGACCTTTTACAGCCAGACTAACATCACGAAGGTGCCAAAGGTGGCCCAGATTGGCATAAGCCGCTCTGGCTTTCACTATACGTGCATTGATCTCAACACACTCAACACAACCGACGAAGTATGACGGAAGCCAATAGCTTGGACGCAATCGGAAGTAGACTTTTCCCCCGATAGTTGTTGCAGGAACGATGTGAACCCTTTTTAAAGATAGGGACAACTATCGACTCATTCCATGACGTTGGTACACTCTCTAGCTCCCAAACCCTTGTAAACAACGTCGTCAATTCCTTAGTCAAAAAGTCACCACCATCTTTAAAAAGAGCCGGAGGTAAGTCATCTGGGCCAGGTGATTCGTAACGCTTCAAGAGTTTGAGTTCCTTGCGGACTTTCTCCTCGTTTGGTGGATCAGTCGTCACCGGCCATGGAGGGCAGGACAGTCTGACCGATGTTGCCGGAGCAGCAGGCCAGTCGAACTGACCTTCGAAAAATTCTGCCCATCGTCCAAGACGTCGATGGATGTTAGTGATTGGCATCCCATAATCCTCGAAGATTGTTTCACTCACACCAGACTTCTTGCTGCCAGTGGCTCGGATGAGGTGGAAGAGCTTCAGGTAGTTACCAGATGCAGCTGCTGCTTCCAGCTCATTAGCACGCTCCGACCACCAGGCTTCTCGGTCCTTACGCAAGCTTTGCCCAATTTCCTTACGTAACATCCTTCGTTTATGGTCAAACTCACGGTCAACCGGAGTAGACCGACGGGCTTCAATAAGTTGTAAGGAACCAGAAGAAACCCAGTGCTTATAAGCGGGACGTTTCGCAAACCCACAACTGACTGTTCCCGCCATTTTCATGGCGTTGTGCAATTGCAACCAATGCTCATCTATACTTTTCGGTGGAGTGGTAGCTAGCCGTACCAGGGCATTCGGGAGCAGATGGTGTTTAGATGCTGATCATGCCTCATGCTAAAGTTAACAGCTTGACATTTAGATGGATTAAGTATGAGACCATTAACAACAGACCAACATTCAATACGGGACAAAAACCCATTCATTTCTATGGGACACAAAGAGGTAGGAATCGGCATACATACAGTGAGATCATCCGCATATTTCACAAAAGTGTATTCTGTGGAAGATGGCAGATCATGCAGAAAAGAAGAGAAAAGAAGAGGAGAAAGAACAGCTCCTTGTGGTACACCTTCATGAGATAGTAGAGACGCTGAAAACGTTCCTCCAAACACAGCGTACTGTTCTCTTCCAGAGAGGTAGGAACATAGCCAATTGGTTATCTAGCTATCAGTAATGATGCTGATTGACTTATTAAGTAAAAGTTGTCCTGGTATAGAATCAAAAGTTGAAGTATGGTCCAGAAAAGCGCATCGAACATGCTTCTTACCCTCTTCCAAGCTGAATACTATATTGTGATTCAGAACAGCAACGGCATCTAAGGTGCTTCTTTTGCATCTGTAAGCAAACTGATACGGATCAATGTACTCTTTTATTGCCGGTTGAAGTGGGAGTATCAATACTTTTTCCATTGTTTTGAGGAAATGTGAAGTTATTGCAATAGGTCTAAATTTCACATTCTTATCACCAGATACTTTCTTAGGTATAGGGATTATCTTTACTTTTCTCCATATTTTCGGTATGAGATTAGTTGAGAAGGATCTGTTAAAATACTGGTGAATGGACAACATAGAAAGTCAGCATACTTTTTGGAAAGGAGTTTTGGGATATCATCAAATCCTAAACATCAGGATGAATTAAAGGACTAGAGACTTTTTCGGACACACAAGTATTAGTTGAATTTGTGGATATAGGGAGCATTAAATCAGATGACTGACGTACAAAAGACTTATTTAAATCACATACATTCAGCTGGTTATCGCTTGTGATGTGCCTGTCACCTGTTCTTTAAAGAGTTTCCACATAGTTGGAGAGTTTTTGCAAGACAGGAGTTTTTGAGTAAATATAGAATTGAGACATCTAATCTCAAGGTTTATCAGACCATTTAGCTTACGAACTTCAATAGTTTTTCTCCTTGTACATTCTTTCTTTCACCCTCCGTGGTCGTTTTAGTTGTGAAGATGTAAATCGATCAAAACTTACAAAAATGGTTTCAGTGGGACAAACAAATATCAAAACAGAATTTAAGGTAACACGTGATAACATTAATAGTGTTTTTCAGTGAGTCATCTCTAAATAATTCCCAGTTAGTCGTATGAAACATGTTTTTCAGATTTCGGATATTTTCTTCTGAGTAATTCCTATATTTGACTTTCTTGGATTGATACAAGAGTGTACTCTTTCCATTCCTTCCATATACTTTAAGTAAAACACGAATTATACAGTGTCAACAGTGTTTTCTTCTAGTGCAAGTATTAGCAATACAAGACAAGACATCATTTTAAATTATTTCGTCTTTACAACTCATAGTCAAGGAAATCGGGAAAGGAAAGGAAGACTGCTATTCAGAAACAGCATGTCACATTCATTTTACACAGCATTTCACTCACGTTTTCAATTTCCACCTCAATACTGACGGCATGACAATTAGTTGTATTATGTTAGTTGAAACATACTAACCTCCGAATACCTCCACATTTATAGACAATTGTTAACTGTAACCATACATGAAGAACAGTAACATGTTTCACTACCCCTGAGACATCATTATAATAACTTGAGATTTTATCCTCCATAAGCACTTTTCTTCTTGCATTTTTGGCTAATAGCTCACACACTTTTGAACTTCCATTTATGAGTTACACATCTAGGTAGGATGTTTGCTGTTTTACTTATCAATGCCACAGAGAACCCATTTATAAGAGTCTAATGATGAACGAATTTTCTCTCCTTTCGCTCTTTTAAACCAAGGTAATGTAATCGAACGATCCCAAATTGGATACTTAGGTGTTTATGCGAGTAAGTTATTATCATTAACTTCTTAGCCAGCATTAAGAGCTAGTAGTTTGTAAGTGATTATTTGTAGAGTAAGAATACATACTATCGCCATAGCCACTGATTCTAAATAACACCAATTTTTAAGACCAAAACATGGGTACTATGAAATATACATGAGAACTTGAGTGTGTTAAAAAATGTAGGTCAACAATCTGTAAGTACCATCTCCGCTATGTTTAAACATGTTTCCGGACCTCCGCACTATCTATATAATGTTGGCGTCCTTTCCTGACCGCGAAGATCGAAAAGAGGGCCACATAGCATTCCCAACTTTGAAAGGCTACGTTTTGCAAATATACAGCAGAACATATCTTGTTTATTCTAATGGTTAATTGGCTAAGTGGGAATCGAACAGATTGAGCGTTACCGTATATCGTACTAGACGTCTAAAAGTCAAATTATAATCAACTAAGTGGAAGTATCTTGAATTTTTAGCCGAAACATGGATGAAACTTACTCGTTTGTATCCTTCCAGTAATTCTGTTAATTTAGAACCTCCTCTTCCAATTAAAAGTCTATGAAAGCGATTAGGTGCTTCGATTTCTTCTGTCATGGTGCTTTGAGCCCGTTCATAAACCATTGTAAGTGCACGTCCAAGATCTTCGGGTTTTCCTCGCAAAACAATCTCCTCATTCCCATCATCCACTGGCAGTTCAACGGAAACACCAGTTTGAGCTAGAATATCTGCGATTCCAGAACCGCGCTGACCGAATATGATACGATGCTGTGATCTGGCGACCTTAACAGTAATTGTCTTTGTAGTTTCAAGCTGGAAACATAAAATATAAAATTTTACAAAATCCAATTAACAGTGTCATCAAATGTGAGGAAAAATGTTGTTAATAATCAACTTGGTGCTCGGAATGTTTCATATTCTTAGTTTCAGAATTTGTAAAAAATTATGTACGAATTCATTAGGAAGAAAGTTTCGAAACAAAAAAGGGTAATAACATGCACGTTCAAGAAAAAGAAATATTTTTGAGACTACATGAAACCAGATATACTGAACCAGTATACTCTCATATGCTTAAAAAAACTTACCCGTTCATTATATATTGCTTGAATCTCTTTAACCGCTTGTGCAACACCTTCGCGCTTGCCGGAAACTGTTATTTCATCGACTGATACATTTGGAGGAGGAATGTTGATTTTAGTGTCAGTTCGAGACTTCAGATCATTTACAATCTGGTTGTTCCTATAAAGTAAGACTTTTGTCAAAATCCATTCGGGTTAAACATAGTAATGAGTATGAACTTACGGCCCACATATAAAAGGATGGTAAATTTTTGGGATCGAAAACCGTTCAAACGCTTGTTGGGATTGTTTGCGAACAATTTCATATATTAGGCCTTCTGCTTTTAAAATCCCTCTTCTGGGACCTGTAACAATGACGACATTTGGATCAAGCGCATTGTGAGGTGGAATGCTAATCCGTGTCATCGTGGATGACTCCAGTTCTTGTAATCGCTCCCCCTTCCGACCAATTAAATAACCCCGACACTCAACAGGAACAGAAATTCGAACAGTTTCCTGGAAAAACAAGGTTGGGTTTGATTAAAAATAATGAGAACCGAAGCACCAGATAACCAGTCACTTAGCTACAACGTATGACCAGGCACATACATGCACCAGTTTATGTTGCCACAGTTCATTAGCACAAAACGATGAACACCAAATTTATAGAAGCAGTTAACTCAATGGTAGTTACAAAAAATTTCATAAAAAGATATGATACAGGGAGAACGGTTGACGCAGGCCAGTTTTGAAGCAACAATTTGGATTTAAAGGAAGAGAAACGCATCCCAAACACCCTGGCATTGTTGCACAGTGCTACCAAAAGACTGAATTTTATCATCGTTGCCACCAAACAGACCTGACAACGAACGACATAACCTTGCAATATACGTGTGGTGGGGGTGTTATTTACAAATGGCCGTGTGCATACAACCGCTGCCAGGGAAGTCCTACTCATTGCCTTCTCGCGGTGGGGGTTTGTTTACGAAATTGAAAGGAAGAAAAGCGAATGTCCGGCTCTTTAACCGGGTTGGTGGACATGGCGAGTCCTCATAGGGGAGTTGGAAAACCCTGATTCCAAACCAATGGTGCACATGGGCTCCAGTATCCTGAAGGAAAAAATGGAGTATGAACTAATTATTGGTCACCGGCTACCATGGGACTGCATCTCCTTAAGATGCTCCACTGCCTTGTGCATCAAACCTTTACATCGAATGCTCCGAGTGTGGCCCCCTAAGAAAATCACCTGCTTCGGTTTGAGCACCCGTGCAGTATCATAGCCCTCATACAAATCAAGTGAGAGTTGTGTGGCGCATATGTATCTGGTGCCCCCTTGTACCATTATCTATGTGTTCAAATAAATAGTAGATAAATAAATAAATAACAAAATAAATAAATAAATATAGGTTCAACACTGCTTTTTTCTATGTTATTAATGGCGTAGTTTGGAGAAAAGCTAAAGAAACTTTTTTGGCTGAGAGCAGATAAGGGTGTCATCTTTTTCCGATATCGTCCCACTTACACTTGACTTTTTAATTCCAGTTTCGTTTATTACTCGGAAAAGTTGTCTGGTGTTACCTACAGCCGTTGCACAACACTGCTCACGGTCGTTCCTTAGACTTGGTTAACCTAGATTTGATCTGTTTACGCTCTTCATTGTGTTCAGAGCCTGATGGGATGAACTTAAGAGAATCTATTAGTTCAATGAACTTGATAGAAATTACTGGTTTTTCGTGACCCTTTAGTTTAAATCACTAGTAGATGTCGCTGCTGCGTTTAGCTTTCTGAAGTTCAGAAAGCTTTCTGTAAAATTCATCTTTCACTTCATTCGAGCTGCAGTAAGTGGAAGCGTAGGCAGAAACGACGTGTGTCCCTATCCTTCCGAGTTCTTACGAAGCCGTTTAGCTGAACAGCACATAAGCGACTGTTAACAGAGATTCATTCTAATAGTGATTGCTCTGCCCTCGTACTTAATGCCGTGCCTACATTCACCAGTCCACGAGAACTAGTCATCGGGTCGCCAGATACGTGGAGGGTGTATCTCGCCGGCTCTCCTCTTTGCCGAGGTGAGGTCAAGTGAATGACCACACTAGGATCCTGTATGTGTGTTTCGGAGACACAACATACACCAATGGTACGAGCTTCTAAAATTTTAGTCAAGGAGGCCTGCTGACTGATTTGGCATAGGATACGTACGTTGAAGGTTTCAATGTGTAGTTTGAAACGAGGGTTCAGAAGATCTGGGACAGTGTTGTGCGTACTTGAATCGTTGGCCATGATGACACTTGAGGAGGAAGTCAAAAGGGGGAGTTTATAGTTGAAAGTCGAGGTAGCAGGAATAATAGAAATTGAAGAGGGAGATTAATTATGAATAAAATGATCTTGAGTGCTATTAGAGGTGCGGTGTGTGCTACTTATATTGACATAAGTAGTATATGATGTTAGTCATAAACAGGTCTGGCAGCAGAGAGACAAGGAGATCGAACAGTAAAGAATGGAAACAGAATGCTATTTGTATGAAAATGCAAGAACAATCAAGTCTGAGTCATTTTGAGACAGTTGGTGGACATTTTGCAAATTAAGCATTTATTTTATGATTGTTAGATTTTATTAACAAGTCCTGTAATTTTGTGTTGAATACATTCGATTGTCCCCACCCGTGTTCTATTCATTACAGAAATATGAGGGCGGTCATCACTTTCCGGTCGCCCAGACTGCGGGAGGGTTCTTCTAGAGATACCTGAAAAGTAAATTGGGTTGGAAGTGGTCTTAATTACCTGAGAGTGTGACCAAGGGACAACTGCTTGAGGCTGGTCACACACGACCTTATTGTGAGTTTTCGTGTTAGCTCCGTACTTGTTGGAACCTTACCGCCTGAGACGGATATCCGTAGGATAAGGTGAAGCGTGAAGTTAGCATCGCTGTTATGCTGGTTGTCTGAAGGAAAACCTTACTGCCGTCACACCTCTGTACAGCCAGCAGTACGACTTCACCCTCGGACCTTGAGTTTGTGTATGTAGGTTTACGTAAATGGTACGCGCTTCAGTTAGCACAAGGAACGTAAGCTGGAAAATGTCTGCTTTATATCAACGGCCTAAACCTTCAGATTGAAGACAATATGAAAATATGGTAGCGAATACTAGGGAGAGGCAATCACCAACCTTCCCTGAAAACTACTTATGCTTATGTTTATGTCATGAAATATATGTACGAAAGCCTGTGTACCAGTGATATGTATGTGGTGCGTGAGACAGTCAAATACGTTCGATGGGAGCGGTGTACACCTATCCAGGTATGTAAATATACCGATATGTATACCATGGGATGCATGAGTGAAATCTTGTGTTACCGGTATGCATGTAACGCATAAATGCCCCCTGGTACGACGCTCGCGCATTAAGACTTGAGGGTATCGATTTCCTCAAGAAATCACATCCACGCGGTGAGTTTGTGGGTAGGGAGCTACTTTGAGAAAAGCCAATCGACCTCATCAGATAAGGCTTGACCAACCTCAATGCAGTTGGAACACAGCACCCCGAACGTACCGGTTAGTACTGTCGGTTTTTAAAATACTGCTTTTCTTAATTTTCATTCAATAGGATTGTCACCTGAATTTCAAAGACAAATAGGATGTAAACGTTTAATTCTTGTTCGAAAAGCATGAGATTTAGTATACCAAGTATTTTCATTTTTATATGGCAGTCATTCACTTGAACTATCAAAATGAAACTCATCCGTTGAAGAACTAGTAGTGATTAAATTGATCCATTCGAAAAATAGAGTTTATGTTATCCTTTGACCCGATGAAAACGACTTGATGTTTGAAACCTTTGGGGGCTTCCCAGACAATTAAAATAGCCAATAGCTGTAGACCAACATACAAGGCGACATTATCTGTAACCTTTTCTAACTACATTTGCAGCTAGACAAGGTTAAAACTGAACTGCGTCTATAACTGACCACAGATTATTACCCCCATATGAATCATCTAACACATGCGAACAAACCATTGTGCCCTCGAGTAAATATTTTTTTGTCGTAACACCATTTCACAATTTTCAGCTTAACATAGAATACCGCTTGTAATCCTCTTACCTGTTGTTGTAACTCAGCTACCACCCTTCTCTTTGCTTCAGCCACTCTGCTTGGCTCTCCTGAAATAACGACCGTCAGAATATGATTTTTGGAGCTGTTCAAATTCATTTCAACATTTGTATCTCTTGCGATTTCCATACAGATTTTACTCTGAACATTGTATCTTCTACCGGCTGAAAGATTATCGTCCTCATTGTTAACGAATCGTCTCTCCTCAAAGGGTATTTCCAAGACCTAACAATGTTACTAAACAGACATAATCATACTTCCGTAGTTTTTGCTTGGTAGGAAGGTATTAATGCACCTAACGCTTTGACAGGACGAGATAACCCAGCTTTTGGGAGGGCAGGAAAGTCTTGCTCATTCAGTTGTGAACTCAAATCGACATTTTCCCTCATAATTGCTGCACAGGCTTCCATAATTTTGCAGAGAAACCTAACACTCTTAGGACCCAACACGTCAAGAAGACCCGCAAGGTCAAGTGAGTGTAGCGTACAGTACCAAAAAACACGACAAAAAGATTTCTACACTGAAGTAATTTTAACTATTTGAGGAGAAAACCAAAGTCTCTCGATTAAAGATTTTCTATGTGTAGTGGAAATCAATATCTGGTTTTGATAGAAATGTAGCCAAATACATCAAAACGTGAGGTGATTCAAATGGTTGACGAGCTTCCGTGTCCAGTAGTAGTAAATCATCGATTCCTTCAGGTAACGGTCTAGATACATAGAACAAATAGGATTATTAGAAATATTAATAATTAGGTATGAAGTGGTCTTCTGAGTCCAAGAAAATATCAAGTTTCCTCCTTTGCGACAGCAGGGATTTTGCTTTGAATACTTCGGCTAGCATTAAATTCTAAGAGTTGGCCAGTCGTGAAAAGTAGATGTTCCCAAAGTCCGGCTTACGGTAATGTATCTCCATTTTTCTCGTATTTCCCTTAGGTTTGTGCTGGAATCTGACTTAATTAGGTCCTCTAAAAGTTCCTAAGATTATGTGGGGACAGTTCAATGTCATTGGTCCCTAGCCAACTCATCCACCAATCAAGTCACTGAATGTCAATTAGTCCACCGATTCTCGTCATGGTCAAGAAAAACCAAAGCGAATCAGTTCATTGCTCACAACGGTCTGGTCCATGCAATAGCGGTTGCACTCTGTTTCTTGTACCAACTCTAGCTAATAGATCTCTGTAATAAAGTCATCTGTGTTGTATGGTCACCAAAGCAGCCATAGTACCTGGATATGACAAAACACGATGTGGGACTTTGAAGTTATCTAGTTGGTCACACCATCCTTGTTTAACTTGAGTAGGCCCCCAATTATTCGACACAAACCATCTACGGTGGTGATCTAAAATTATTTTGGTTGCTGTAAGTTATTGAAAATCGCCTTTGAGTCGCATTTTCTCAAGAATGAAGATCCAGTGGTTTTGGGCGTTTCTCAAAATGTGTGAATTTTAGTCCCGGAAATCGGTTCGGAGACCCAAAATCGAATGTAATAACCAGCGCTCCGGATAACTGAATCCTTACCCATAAGAGCGTAGCGGTAAATAAATCCCCAAAATAAATAGCTCTGTAAGTTTTCGATATTGGATGCTGACCATATGTTTTAGTGGACTCATCTAGCTGAAGGCGCTCGGTCATGCATCCGCACCAGATCACATGTGGTAACGCTGTGCTCAACATCTACCGCAATCGCTAGCCAGATTAGATCAAAGAATTCCGATATATTGGTAATCGCCAAACACACTCTCCCGATTTCCTCGACTCTGTCTTTTGATTTCTCTCGGTGGGAACAAAGTATATTAGAAGATGTTACTGGCAGAAGCGTTGTCAAACACTGAATACCTGTATCATCCTCATTGGTGAGACCAACGTGATCTGGTACACCTAATTGCAATTGTGAGTCTGTTCCTTTTTGGGATTTTTATATATCATTACCTTATTTTTTTCAACATTGTGATTTTTTTCGTGTTTTTTTCTTGGATATATATATTTTCATATTTCATCATGACTGAACAGACACCCAAAGTACTCAAGCTTAAGACTTTGTCCCCGCCTTCGTTTCAACTGATGCCTTTCTGGCCCGACAATATCAAAGCCTGGTTCTGCTACGCAGAAACCGACTTCCACGAGCACGGCGTGATCGACACACGTACACAATTCCTCGCAGTAGTCATGGGACTACCGCGCGAATTCAACAGTTACGTTACACCTAGTATGTTAACTAGTGATGTTTCCGAACCTTACGAAATCTTAAAGCGTTCGATTCTTAAACGAGGAGACCTAACCGATCGACAAATGTTAGTGTTGGGTTGGCTTCCGGAGAACTTCAACGGAGCCTCCAGAGGCCCACAATGGAGCCGAAGAGTCCTAGCCAATCAGAGTGTGATGGAACGTTCTAGAATTCCAACGTGGCGTGCTACTATTGGTCGGTAGCGTAATGTGTTGTTATCGGATTGGCTGTAAAATGATGTTGATTTAACAGATGCCAAAATCTATAAATACCCATGATTTTCTGTACAAGAATGAACCTTGGGATAAAGTATTTCCTCTCATACTTTTGTCTTCTCTCTGGTGTTCAAGTCGCTGTGTAGTTCTAGACTGCGGGTTACCGATATAGCTTAGGAATCGTATATAGCGTTCAACCTACACGACTTATCAGTGGCGACGGAGATGAAAACTACAATGAATATTTCCTTGAAGCAATTAGAAGCCTATATGGCGCGTCAAGAAAAGAGGTTTGAAGAGTCCCAAATTAGAATCATGGAAACCCTGATGCAGAAATTCTGCCTGTCCCAGCAAAATCCTGCTTCTAGTGAACCTCAAGTATCACATATTGATTCAGTCATTAATGCCATTCATGAATTTAATTTTGATGGTTTCGCAGGTGTAACTTTCGAGTCCTGGTTTAAGAAGTATAAAGATTTGTTTTATATTGATCTTTGCAAACTGGATGATGCTTCAAAAGTGAGAATACTTCTTAGAAAACTTGAGACTATGGAACATGAACACTATAGCAATTTCATTCTTTCGAAGAACCCACGAGATTTTAGTTTTGATGATACAGTCAAAACCCTGTCCCAAATCTTCGGAGAACAATCATCGCTATTTAATATCCGTTACCAGTGCTTAAAGTTAACGAAAGAACCAGGCGAGGACTGGGTGAAACATGCAGGAACTGTGAACCGAGAATGTGAGAGGATCAGATTGTCGTCCATGTCGGAAGATCAGTTCAAATGCTTAGTATTTATCTGCAGCCTGAGTTCACCCGAAGATGCTGATATCCGAACAAGAATCCTAAGCAAACTCGAACACTGCCCAAACATGACCCTGCAAGAAGTGACTGCTGAGTGCCAAAGGTTAGTAAACTTAAAGCATGATACTTCAATGGTAGAAAAAGGTAACTCTTTCCATAACGTTAATGCAGTCAAGAGAAAAGTCTATCAAGGTTCCAGTACCCATAGTTATCGAAATAACAGCGACAAACCATCATCTCCATGCTGGGCATGCGGAGGTTGGCACTATAAGAGGTTTTGTCCATATAAAGAACATCGTTGCATCAAATGTCATCGGAAGGGTCATAGAGAAAACTGCTGCAGAAAAAGAACCCATAAACAACATTCTTTGAAACGTTACTCGAAGAAATATAGATATAGTGCTCAAACCAACAAGATATTGGTATCACATAACAGAGCACAAAGTTGCCACCAAAGAAAGTATGTGACCTTGAATATTAATAAACGCCGAACCCGCCTTCAGCTTGACACAGCTTCTGATATTACCTTAATCAGCCCTGAAACATGGAAGAACATCGGAAGACCCACAATTTTCCCAACGACACAGCTGGCACACAGTGCATCCGGGGGGAAGTTACATATTGTTGGAGAAGTGCTATGCACTGTTTCTAAAGGTATGGTAACAACAAATGCAACATTGTATCTTACTAAGAAGCCAGCACTAGACTTAATGGGGTTGGATCTTATAGAAACGCTTAAACTAGCTGATCATTCTATCAACAGCATCTGCAGACGAGTAAGTACAGACAACACCTTAGTGGGGAGCCAGAAAAACGCTATGTTACAAAGACACCAAGACGTTTTTAGAGAAGGATTGGGAGAATGTACGAAGGCCAAAGCACTGTTAACTCTAAAGCCTGCAGCTACTCCCGTTTTTCGACCTAGGAGACCCGTACCATATGCTGCTCTACCAGTGGTTGAACAAGAACTAGAACGACTTCAGAAACTAGGTGTCATTGAACCAGTGAATTTCTCAGAATGGGCCGCACCGATAGTAGTAGTAAAGAAGACTAATGGTAACGTTCGTTTATGTGCCGATTACTCTACCGGTTTGAATGAAGCTTTAGAAACTCATCAGTATCCATTACCCTTACCTGAAGATCTTTTTGCTAAACTGAACGGAGGTAAGCTTTTTGCAAAGTTGGATTTATCAGAAGCTTATTTACAAATCCCTGTTGCTGACGAGTCTAAAAACCTGCTTACCATAAACACACACAAGCGTCTATTCCGGTATAATCGACTACCCTTCGAAGTCAAGACGGCCCCATCCATATTTCAGCAAATAATGGATACTATGCTACAAGGTGTTTCAGGTGCTGCAGCTTACCTAGATGATATAATAATTATGGGTGTAGATAGAGTAGACTTAGAAAAGAAGCTTGACCAGGTGCTGACGCGAATAGCCGAATATGGACTTCGACTTTGTCCAGAGAAATGTGACTTCTGTATACAAAAAGTACGCTACCTTGGGTTTATAATCGACAAAGATGGAAGAAGACCAGATCCGGAGAATACCCTGGCAGTGAAAACTATGCCCAGACCGACGGATGTCCCCACACTACGATCCTTCTTGGGACTAGTTAGCCATTATGGAGCTTTTATTCCGAACCTTCATCAATTACGTGCCCCCCTGAATAACCTTCTGGTGAAGAATGTAAAATGGAATTGGTCTGCAACTTGCCAAGCCGCTTTCGATGAAATCAAGAAAGTACTAGTCTCGGATCTGCTGCTCACACATTACGATCCATCCTTACCCATTGTAGTGGCATCAGACGCCTCGAACTACGGCATTGGAGCAGTTATTTCTCACGTCATGCTAGATGGATCTGAGAAGGCGATATCACATGCAGCTAGATCGTTAAATTCAGTAGAACGTAATTACAGTCAGATCGAGAAGGAAGCATTGTCGATTATCTTCGCTGTCAAGAAATTTCACAAGATGATACTTGGACGTCAGTTCACCCTATTAACTGATCATGAACCATTACTAGCCATATTTGGGTCAAAGAAAGGTATACCTGCATACACTGCAAACAAACTGCAACGTTGGGGAACTACACTCTTGGGTTATGACTTCAAGATCAAGTACCAGCCCACTACTGATTTTGGACAAGCTGACGCTTTATCTAGACTGATTGGTTCACAAGTAAAACAGAAAGAAGAAACTTTGGTGGCAGCAATCGAGACAGAAACAGAAGTACATCGAGTTTTGGAAG